ATATATATACATACTTATATATTTTTTCTGCCTCTTCTCCAAAGTTAAAATGACATGAAAGATAAATATTGTGAATCGATTCAGGATATCCTTGCCTCCAAGACAGACACACACCTACAGATACAGAACTTCAGAAAGTGGTGAAAAAGATGGGATGAGGGTGTTTGAAGTGAGAGGAAGCGGAAGGGAATTAATGGCAACCTGCCTTTTATTGTAACACGTTTTAAAAGAGTGTGTTCATGAGAAATAGAATAGATGGTCAACTCTTCTATCTTTCATGGTCGTTTTGACTTTGGAGAATAGCCAGATATCTAACAGTGCCAGATCTGGTGAATAAAATAAAGGAGAATGCACCACAATTTTTTTGATGAGCCTGCCCTTCTGTGAACGGCACTTAGCAGAAACATTGCTTCAGAAAATGGCAAGAATGATGGGATAGGTGAGTTTAAAGAGGGGAGGGAGAGGCATTTGGAGGGAGAAGACATTCAGTGTATATTTCTAGTGCATCTCATGCTTTTTTTCCACTACAGAAAACTATTCTTCATGCCTAGTAAGCTGATTCAGGCAAAAGTGATTTCACTTTTAAAATTCACACATAGAAAAAAAAATAAATTCACACATAGATACCAGACACTGGGATTATTTTTATAATTACTGCATATTAGGAAAGACCTCTGTTTTAATAATATTATTTCATATTATTTATTACAGGAGAAAATGCTAGACATTGATAGCAATTGCCTGAAAAAAGAACTTAACTTTTTTAGGAGACATTCATGTGCTGACAAAAAGGTAATAATGATAATAATTATGTGGGGTTTGTCTCTCAAAAATCATAGGAAGTTCTATTTTTTGTGTTTCTGGTAGACAGTTACATTAATTATGTCTATAACATTCCTTTATTCTAAACCACACAATTCCTATTGATCTATTAAATTATATTTTGCCTTTTATTCTTTTCTTTTATAAATAGTTTTATCCTTGGTAAATAACTTTATTTTTCTGTTGTAACATCATCTAGAAAATACTAGGACTGCTCCCTTCAAAATCACGTGACTTTTTCTAAAATTTGGTATCCAGGAAAAGACTTATTAGGAATTGCTCACAAACACATAAATCATGATATAATTTAGTTATAGAAATCTTGAAGAATATTTTCAACATTTCTTTAATTTAAACTGATATCCTTTCTAGTTGACATAATATTACAGTTTATAAAATCTCCACAATTTATTTCTGGATAATTGCTTTTTGCCATTAGATAGTTTTTCAAACTCATAATAGCAAAATTAATTCATGGAATCTCATTATAATTATAAACTCTTTATTTTTAATTGCTTACTTTCAATATATAAAAAGCTTACATTTTAGGTGAACTGGCCCTTTATTTTCTTAGTACCAACTATTCATCCCTGGCTCTAAAGGATCTAGAATAATATATGTAAGCAAAACACACATACCTTTCATCATTACTGCTTCCAGAAGCCTTCTCCTTTGGTTATCCTGTTTTATATTGAATAAACTTATAATGTGTTCACCTATTAAAGATAAGATCACATATACATAATAGAAAACAGACGCGTTAAAACTCAGATAATCATTAAACCAAGCTTTAGGCACTTCAAGCTGTTGCCTAGGAGCTAAACAGTTTCAATCCTATTACTTGTCAGTCACGTGATTAACAGGAATCCAGAGCTGGAAAGGAGGCCCAGCATTACTTAGCAATACAGTTCTGGCTTTAGGATCCTTAAGAAAACTGTATTTCTCAATATTCTATTTGAACAACAGCTCTTCTCTCTTTTTCCTATAATAGGAAGCTGCTTTTCTAAATCGTGCTGCTTACAAATTGGAGCAATTTGTTAAAATGAATATCACTACGGATTTTGAGCTACATTTATTAAAAGTTTCACAGGCCACATTCAAACTGATAAACTGCACCAAGGTAAGCTGGGAATTTACTTTGAACAAAATCATAAACTAGTGCTGTGCTAGGATACTATCATTCTCTGATGTTCATATCTATTACTATAGAATTCTAAGTTTTGCGATCACTTAAGGTTGAGACACACTTACAGTAGAATATAGTCTCTACTTGCAAAGTATATATTCACCCCTTGTGTAAGGGAAACAGTCTGTGAAAGGGAGCAAAATATAAATGAATACATCATTGCCATATTTACAAAGAAGCTAGGGTGATACACTGTAGGGAAAATAGTGAGTTTTCACCTTGTAACTTACTTTAATCCATATTATATTCACATTATACACATCCTGGTCAACAAAACAGGAAGCTAAATATATTTAATAACTATCTTTATATGTTAAACCCAGATATATTCTATCAGTTTTCCTTGTTTTAATACTTATGATACTAATAGTGTAAGTTTTCCTTACTTTTCTACTGAAAGTTATGAATGAAAAACAACAAATCAAAATTTGGGTTGCATCCTGTCTTGATGTTAGGCAATTTTTTCATCTGCAAATTGGAGAAAAACAGAATCTTCACTGTAGGATGATGCTAAAAGGATTTAATGGCATAATTTGCATTATGTGCTTAGTACTAAAAGGTTTTTGATGCTTAAATAATGTTTACGACTCTTGCTATTATTTCCCTCCTCAGGGATTTTACCAGCTGACACACAAAGTCAAAAGGTTTCTTAAGGTTCTTTGCATTAAAAAAAATGTATGCTATAAAAAATAATTGTACTTTGCTTCACCTGAGTACTAGTAGTTTCCAACAAAATGCAAAATGGGAAGATTATCTGTGGGCCCTACTGACTGATGAAAATAGAGATTTTATAACTTGAACAGCTTTATTCATTGTTGCGTTATCTACTCAATGAAGGCCAGTCTCTTCTTGGTGTCCTGGATTTGTCAAGCTTATTTACAATTTTGTGCCTTTTTGTTAGTTTTTGGGAAAAATAGACATATTTGTTAATTTTTTAAGAAATAAAAACCCAAATGAGTACCTGATGTAGCATACTGTAAAAAATGTGCATGATATATAATAGTATGTAAATAGTCTATTATGTATATTGATATATGATTAGGAACTATTACAAAAATTATACAGATGTACATATTTATGAATTTATCAGGCAGACTTAATTGAATCTGATTAAACTTTAACAAGTGCATTAAATAGAGTGGGACATTAAAAATGGGTACATTGATTCATGAGCATGTTTGGGTTCTTCTTTTACATTTCTATTATTATGATTATGTTGTTTTTGTTTGACTAGTAGATAAAAGGAGACATGAAAATTCCTTTATTCTTCTTAGAGGAAAGGGTGAGTTTGCATACCCTGAGAGTCAGGAAACCTTATGAATTCCACCAGTAGTAGATAATCTGTAAAGAATGAAATGGATTCATGAGGTAGGAGCAATATAAATGCCTCAGAAAGTTTTGACTAAGAGAATTCAGAAAGTTTAGAAAGGAGAGATAGCATCTATGTCCCCAGGGCTGCAGAGGTAAAATCAAGACTTTCTATTTGTTTGTTTGTTTGTTTACATCTATGTAGTTATACTTCAGTATTCGTGGCAGATTAATTTGGGAATCTCACCCCACAAACCAAGAACTGTGGATTTTCAAGTTCCTATACAACGATGCAGCATACATCCTATACACCTGTTCCCACATACCTCAAATCATCTCTAGTTTACTCTTAATACCTAATAGTTTGCAAATGCTATGCATTTGTATTAATGTATTTTTATGGAATAATGACAAGAAAAATATTTATGCATAGATAGTACAAGTGCATTTTTCCTGAATAGTTTCAATTTGTTGTGAGATGTATCTGGGGATGTGGAAACTACAGATATGAAGGTCAATTGTGTTTCTCCTGGTCAAGCACATCTACTAAGAAGTAAATATCAGTTTGTACTTTTAAAAAAATTCCTCAAACTGTAACTGCAAAGAGTATGAAAAATTTCATTCATATTTGAAATCTCATCCTTGATATTAAATACATATTTTATGTTGCTAAATATACAGTTAAGAGAGATCTGAATTTATGACAATTAAAAATCGGGATGAACTTAAGGTTTAGGCATTATATTTATTTGACATGTGACATTGGTGCTTGTTTATACCTTTTTTTTTTTTTTTTGTACCCGGTATCGAACTCGGGTCCTTGAGTTTGCAAGACAGGCAGCGGAACCACTGAGTAAAATCCCCGATCCTTATTGATACTTTTTGAAGCACAGTTTCCTCGTGTGTAAAATGAAGTGAAATCAAGTTCATAGGATTATTAAACAGATAAAATAAAGTAGTTTATGTGAAGTATTGAGCACAATAGTTCATGTAGAAATGCCCCAAAATGGTCAATTAATGAAGAATTACTAAATGAAGAATTACTCTATTCTGTCAGAGTATTCAGAAGAACATAATACTTTATGTAGAGTGGATCCCTTACATGTCGGCTTCATGTATTGTACCTCTTTTTTCACTGTTTAAATGTTGTACAGGTACCCCCTTTCAAAATTCTCATCAGATGCTAAGAACCAGTTTATAAGCAAACATTTACCATACTCTGGTAAGGTTAGATTTTGGGGGTGCAGTTTAGTGTACAAGTTCAATGAGGTATATATTTATTATCTTTGCCAAAATAATCTGAGCATTTTCAATGTTAATTATTCTTTCCACTAAAATATATTTTTACATGTAAAAGAAGCGATTGAGTAACCTACAGATATCTCAAATATCTTTTGTGAGGTGGGGGGTCCCACTATTTGTACAGGTTAATCCTCAAAACATGTGCTACCATATTCAGCTCACAGGTATCTCTTTTGTGAAAGTTTAAACAGTATTTTATGGCAATTGTTGCAGTATAAAAATGTCCCCATCTTAGAACATATAAATTTGAATTTTGTACATGTCAGTTATCACAAGTATACTTAGAAATCACAGCTTTTTAAAAGTCATGCAAGAGTCTCCTTTATTACATCAAATTTTCAGTGTAACCGAACATGCTAAAAATATAGAATATTTTAAACATTATTATAAAAGTATAAAATTATAACTTTTTAATCTATCTCTCCAGGAAGAAAGTATTTCAAAGGAAACGAAAAAGAATGACCGGTGTTTCCTAAAAACACTAATACAAAAGATAAAAACTTGTTGGAATAAAATTTTGAGAGGGCAATAAAGGACACTGGAAAATATGAGTGGAATACATGAACTGTGGTTGCAACCTCCAGCAGTCTTAGCGGCTTATGCAATTTGGGGGAGTAGAAAGCTTCCTAGAAGTTACTGAAGGCAACCTGGTAAAAATAATGAGAACAACTGAGAAACTGACATTATAGTACTAGAAGACTGACATAAACAACGGAAACTGAACACTGCAGTCAACAAACTATTTCCTAGGTATGTGGACAAATACCAATCAGTATTGTCTATACTGATTTTGTAAGAAAATCCACATAAAGTTTCGTGTGCAATAAAGCTTGGAAAACCTGTTTAAATATTTCAGAAGACATCAAATCTATGCAGTATATAAAGGAAATAAGGGTTAAATTAGCATCATTTTATTATCAGAAGAATTGTATGTTCCACCATGCATCAGTGTACCACATTAAGCATAAAGATTGTCATCATCTGCACTAGAGATGTTTTAGGATTAACAGTGATGGAATAATGCTCATGAGAACAAGAGAAGTATATACTTTAAAGAAGTAGCAACATAAAGAAGCCAAAAATACTTCGGAGAGACATTAAGAAATGTATTTAAATGTGACTGTATATAGCACAGTACCCGTAATAAATGGTATAGCAAATATTTTTAAATGAAAATAATGGATCATTTCAGAAGGTAAAAATTCACTTAGTCTAGGAATGCTAAGCCTTAGTACTAAGTTACTTTTATCATTTATGTATAATAAAAGTTGTCTCAATTTGGGAGTTTAGTTTTCAATTTGGGAGGTATATTTTGAAAAGAATAATATATGTTAGCTTTTTAATTAATGGATTGTGTATATTTAATTTTGAAACCATACTATATCTGTCTATAAAAATATTTTCATACAGTACTACCAGTGTTTACTTTGAGTAACATTTCTCCTTTGATGATAAATGACCTCTGTATTAACACTGTCAGATTAATTTAATCCCAAGAGAGTTTTCAATACTGCAGCCAATGCTTTAACATGGTTCAAACACCATGTTCACTGAATAGATGAGCTTTAATCCCTTATTACTGAGACTAAATATAAGCCCAGGGTCCCAAAAAGGTATGAGTAGGAACACTACTTTGACTTTCAATTCTAGCCTTTTAAAAGAAACTTTTGCATATACCTTTTTAGACCCTGATTAGAAAGGACTGCAAATGAATTTTATTCAATTATAAAGGGAATTAAAAACACTATCCTAGGAAGCCAAAGCTTTAAAACAACTCCCAGCTTCTATTTTGCTGAGTTTGTATCCTTCATGCCTTTCCACAGCGTCACTGCATCTGTTTATGTACTGACTGGCTGTATTTAATTTACAAAATGTGCTCCAGTGATAGCCTAAACTTTTGAAAGCGGCACTTTCCTCTCCCTTTTTACTTTCCTCAACCCATATGGAGTTTCATCCCCAATGTCGCGACAGTGAGCAGAATTATGCATTCCTTTGAGTAGAACTTACTGACCTGCACCATTAACAGGGCTTTGAGTCAGGTATTTTTTTTAATCACTTTTTACTCCAGAAAAGGGACTTGACTAAACTTATTAGAAGCAAACAATTCTTCACTGTGTAGTTTTCTTCAGATGGTCTTTCTATGTAGGCTATGTCTTCATCATAAAACATAGTCAATGATGATATTAATTTATCTGTATAAACTGGTGCTTTTGGTAAGCCATCAGCTAGAGAAACAAGGAAACTTAAAGATATCTAAACATAAACTCTTAAACTTGAAAGCTTTACATAAACTTTCTCTGCAGTGCTGAAAAAAATCTCCTAGCTTGTGGAAAAATAAGGGGTAATATTTTTTAAATCCTTATTAGAATGATTGGATTTTTTCCCCCTTGGTTTTCATCATCTGTTAATAATAGAGTTGAATTTTTTACAAAATTCCTATTCAACAAACTCAAAAAGCTGTATTGTACGCTAAAGGCTTAGAAAAATTATCTACACATTTATGTTTGTATTTCCCTTATTATTTCTTGGCCAGGTAAAGGAAGGGAGGCTGATTAATCATTTTGGTTATTATATTTTTATTATTTCTTTTACCTCAATTATAGAGATTTGTCATAATGAACATTTTCCTTCAAAATACATTAAATCAGCATTTCTAAAGTTTTTCCTGTGAAATTCTTATCAATACATAAATACACAAAATAGATGGGAGGATTCAGAATGGTAAGACATAATTTTCTCTTGGAGGTTCACAATTCATGTAAGTCTATAAACGGTTAATGTAGTCTATTAGTGACGTTCTCATTGCAGGACGTGATATCGATACCCACAGTTTAAAGGGAGAGAGGTTTAATTTGACTAACAGTCTACAGTGATTTAGTCCACAGCCTGCTGGCTCAAAAGAAAAAACATCATGGTGGAAGGGTGTAGTGGAACCAACTTGCTTCGTTCGTGATAGCAGGGAAGCAGAACGGGGAAGACTGTCATGAGAGAAAGGGCCAGGTACCAGGTGTAATAATCAAAGTCATGCTTTCAGGACCACTGGCTTGTCCTTTGAAAAGATTAATAAAATGAATATGATTTTAGCCAGTATTAAGAAAAAAGACAACACAGATTACTAATATCAGAAATCAATGAGGGGACATCACCGAGAGAACATCGGAAGGTTCCATGGACATTAAAAGGATAATGAAGAAATAATGAAAATTTCTACATATACAAATTTGAAAATTTAGATGAAATAAAGCAACTATTTAAGAGACATAATCTGTACAATTTGAATATAAATCAATAATATTATAGAAATAGAATGTACTAACCCTAGATGGGCTCATTACTAATTTCTATTTAAGAAAAAAATTCTACCAAAACTAAAACATCTTTCAGAAGACAGAAGCAGAAGGAATATTTTCTAACTCATTTCATAAGGCTAGAATATCCTAATATTAAAGCCCAAGATGTTACAAGAAAACTACAGGCTAGCATCTGTCATGATGAGCCTATACACAAAAATCCCCAACAAGATATTAGCAAATCCAAGAGTGCATAAAACACTGTTAGTCATCTTTCCCATTTCTGCACACAAAAACAGATTCCCATTAATTTAAAAGCATCAGAAAGATTTAATGGGCCCAAGTTTTCATTCTTTGACTGGCTGCAAGCCAAACACATCAGAAGGGAAGGGCATAGAGAAACAAAGCTGACCAGTTCGTGTCAACTGGAAGCAGACGAAGAACAGTGCCAGAGAGGAATAGGTAAGGGACAAAATACACTCAAGGTCATGCCTCCAAGAGCCATCCAGACCTTTGGAGAAGCTTGACATACTAATTTGCTAGGTTTTTCTTACTGGAATGAAGGTGATATATCAGGATTAATGGCACAATGTACCCCTTGTCGACTTCATATCCAAACAAATCTCATTAAACTATACTTAATGTCCAAGTAAAACTATAGCAACTATAGTAAACATAATACAACTATCCTGCCTACAAATGGAAACAGTGATACTTTTCCCAAGTCTCAACAATTCCAGCATTTTTCAAGTCAGTCTATTCTGAAATATTCAAGGCAATCTCTTAGCTGTTAACCCATGTAATAATAATAATAAAAAAAATCACAAGGTACAATGACACAGGGTAAACAATTCCATTACAAAAGGGAGAAATGGGGGAATAGAAAAGAATCAGAACAAATAAAGACAGGAAGCAATCATGGCAAATATTAAGTCCTATAGCTCCATATCTGGCATATGGGATACACAATGGTGCGATGTAACTTTAGAGGCTATAGGTGGCCCTACCGTTAAGGCCTTGCTGGTTACAGTACATAATGCCTGGCATCTCTCTTGGTCATACTCCACTTAGTCTGTGGTTTTCATAGGCAGATGCCCCATATTGGTGGTTTTGCCAAATTTGGGGGGTTTCTACTGCACTTTGGTTTCATTCCTACACCTTCATGAACTGCTGTCTCAGGGACTCCTTGCCTCAGTTCCCAGGCCATTTGAGATCCAACCCACAACTCTTGCAGTCTGCGTGCTGTTAAAGTTAGCATAATGTGGATGATGCCAGGCTCCCTTGGACCTTGGCTGTAGTAGCCCCTGCGTACCTGGATGGTTACACAGAGTGAAGTGAAACCCAGAACAAATTCTCTAGGAGACTCTTCTCAAGCCAAGATGCTGGGAGTGCCTTTCATTGATGAAAGTTTTACACTTTTGCTCCCTTGAACTTATAATGTGTGGGGTTTACTAATTTTTGAAACGCTCTCAAAGCACCTTTATTTGTCTCCCATAAAAAGTACTTGGTTTCTTTTTAATGGTGCTAATTTCTTCAGCAACACTTCTTTTGGCCGTAACTTCACAAGTAGTTTCTTGTAGGTTAAAATTTAAGCTTTTAAATTTTTTTCTACTCTATTTTTTGCCTCTGATTCTCACTAAAAATCTGGCTAAAAGCAGCCAAGAGCACCCATGTCACAGACTGAATGTTTGGTTGTCTTGCAACGGTCCCCGTCAGATGAATTAGTACACTGTTTTTATCTCAATTTCCTGCAAAATCTCAGGGCACAGGCAAAATGTAGACAAATTTTTTGCCAGAGTGCAAGACACGTGGCCTCTAGTCCAATTGATAATAAGTCCTTATTCCCAAATGAAACCTGCTGAATCTGGTCTTTATTATCTATATTCCTATCAGTATTTAGTCTTCTAATCCTGAAGAAACACCCATCAGGCTCTGCTTAAGGATTTTAAAATTTCTCTACCCTGTTTCTTTAAATCTTCCCAAACTCCTTCTACAAGCGAGCTTGAAATGTTTCTAAATCCCATGGTCAGGTACAGTCAGAGCAATGACCTTCTTCATTACAATTTTCTGCATTAGAGATATTCTCATTGCTGGACACAACACTCAACACTCACAGCTTAAAGGAGGAGAGGCTTCATTTGTCTCATATTCTAAAGGGATTCAGTCCATGATCAATCAGCTCTCAGGTAGACACATGGTGGTAGAATGAGACGGAGCAAAGTTGCTTAGTTCGTGGTGGCTGGGAAGCACAGTGGAGGAGCAGTGGCAGAAAGGAATGGGAGAGGGGCCGTATAAACAACGGTAACCAGAACTGCACCTCCGCGATGCACCCAGACATAACCAGAAATGTGCTTTCCTAATATCTTAAGGCATGTATTAAGCCTATCAAGTTGACACAGTTATTATTAACTGTCACGGGTAGCATTTCCAAACATACTTGAGTAATGCTTTTATATAAAACCTGCTGATGTAACAAAAGCACAACTAATAGACTGTTAAAATAACAGCAAGGGAAATACCGGCTTATATTAGAGTTCCTTCAAGTACACTGAAGGAAATTCTCTTCGGGTTTAAGATAATGATCGTGTTTTTTTTTAAATTGATACACAAAGAACTTATGTACTTCTGAGGTGCCATATGTTTTAATATATAATATTCTTAACAGGTAAACATATCTATTTCCTCAAATATTTATCATTTATTTGGGGTGAAAATTCTTTATTTTTTTTAATTGTGCATAATTATTTTCTATACTTATAATGCTGTGGAAAGGAACATTATAATTTATTTCTCCTGTAACTTATTACCTGCTGACCAACCTCTCTCCATCCTGATAATTCTCATAAAGCTGAACGATGGTAAACCTGAATTAGAAGAGTTTATTTACTAGTAGGTCATATTTTCATTGATAGCCAGCCAGTTTAAGGACAGTTCAGTGTGGTGGCAGACACCTGGGATTCTAGCTACTCTGGAAGGTGAGAAAGAAGGACTGCTTGAGCCTAGGAGTGTCTGCTTATTCTAGAGTAACTGGAAGTGATGTGATGATTTCAGCTGTTTTGTGCTAGAAAATTTTAACCACATACATACAAAAATTTGTCCAAAATGGATCTCAAATAGGAAGTGGTAAATTTTAATTAAGTTGGGCATTGAAAGATGAAGAAATGGGGGAGAAAAAAATATACATACTAGTCAGTGAAGAATGGATAGGTGAACTAACAGAATAATAGAGGGAGTTCTAAACCACATGGAATTTGTATCAAACTCCTTTCATCTGACAACTTGGAGGGATTATCTGTCCCTTGCACATAAAAGTCCTATTGATATTAACATGTATTTATTAGTGAAGAATGAAAAGCAAGCACATTTATGAACACTGTGTACTACATTAGGGAAGAAGTCATGTCTTTATCTCCCTAACAAGACAAAATGATTGAGTCAAGGAAGAGCTCAATTTCTAATGAGCCAACAACATACACAGTATTTTCAAATGTGATATCCATAAACATGACAAATGACCATTCGATACTAACAAAATCTAGGCTTAGAATGCAAAACAAGTCAAGATAATTTTTCATTAGTACCTATTAGTTGGGCAGTGTTTAATTTCTAATACACTTCAGTGTTTCTACTTAAACAAGGTATATGAGCCAATGGCTGACATTGCAAGAGTAAGAGTACTACTCAGTCATAAAGAATGAGAAATTAGAGACATTTACATTGAAGTGATATCAAGTGAAATAAATGGGACATGTGTAAATAACAAATAGTTTCTCTGGTATGAGAAACTATTTGTGTAAATCAGGATCAAAAGAAATAACAGATAATGTGAAATAGGAAGAAAAGGTTGGAAGGGGAAGAGGAAGTTGGAGGTGTTGGGGAAAGGAAAGAAGGGAATAGAATTAATGAGAAAAAGGAGAAAATGGAAAAAAAGTCTTTGTAAGTAGAGAGGGGTGGAAGGGATGAAGAGAGGGCAGGGGAATGGAGAAAAATGAGAACCAAGATATGCTCTGTAAAAGTACAAATTTCCAATGATGAATGTCATTATATTGTACACCTAAAATGTACCAATAAAATAAATAAATAACAACAAAAATCAATCTTCCTATGATACAAAGGAAAAAGCCAAACAGTATTTAAAGGGACACAAGAATATTCCTGTGCTTCAGAGAAGTATAACAGAAGCAGTTCAAATTGTTAAGATCCAAGGAACTTTACCACATACATTCTTTCTAGTGCCACTTGCTTTTTCTCTATCGAAAAGCAATGCAAGTCTTGCTGGTATTCTACCAGTTTTCCTCCTAAGCACTGGAAAATGAAAATATGAAGGTAGAACAGTCATCTGCGATAACTTGTGGTGGTTAGGAAGCTCCTACTTTAACATTTTTGCAGCTTTCAAGATAAAGAAAAGTTCTAACAAGTCATTTTTATCATAAGTTGTTACTGTTTGCATATTAGCCTTTCCAAATAAATATTATCAATATCAGGGCAGGGACTGAATCACAAATCTATTCTCTTCATCTCCAGTATTCATTCATAGAACGAAGTTCATATAAAGTATATTTTTAAAGAAGAAAGGTTTAGTTTTGTGCATCTTACACTATTATTTGGCCTAACCACTTGTTTACTGGCACCTATTTAAATAATGGTACATGCATATTTAGACAACATTAACTTAGCCTACATGACAGGAGGAAAAAGAAGTTTGTCTTAAAAAAGAATATAACTGGGCCAAGAATTTAGCTCAGTGCCTCACAAGTGCAAGGTCCCAAGTTCAATCCCCAGTATAAATAAATAAATAAATAAATAAATAAATAAATAAATAAGGGCCAGGGATTTAGTTCAGTGGTTCCGCCACCTGTCTTGCAAGAGTGAGGACCCAAGTTCGATACCTGGTACCCCCCCAAAAAAAGAATATAATCGACTGAATTGATATACAATTAAAATGAGAAATTAAACCAGTATTAAAAGTACTTGGGAATGTACCTAAGTGATATCCAAGGTTCATGATTATGCTAAAAATATTAAGCATAAATACTAAATATTTCCCTTACTAACATGCTGGTGACAAAAATAAGTTGAACTAATTTTTAAGATACTAACATAATTACTAAGATTGTAATAAAACATAACTTTACAAACATCTGCAATTTTTTATTGTTTTATACACACACACACACACACACATATACATATAATATACACATATATAGCTGGGTATGGTGGCACACATCTGCAATCCCAGCATTCTGGAAGGATGGAAAATTTGAGCCCAGCATGGGTAACGTAGACACTATCTCAGAAAATGGCTGGGGATTAAGCTTAGTGTGAAAGTTTTGCGTATAATCACAAGTCACACACACACACACACACACACACACACACACACACACACACAAACTATATTGTAAACTGAAGGATAGAATGTTAAATTACCCAAAAGCGCTCTCTAGCGGCATAAAAAGGAATTCACAGAATCGCTAAGCAAAATTGGAAATGGGTGTCTTGAAAAATACTGACTTGCCTAAATGAAAGTAAAATCAAACGCAGCTATCAATAACTTTGATTAATAATTCTACACTGCTATATTCACTAATATAGTTAGTCGGAAAAATAAACCCATCTTAATACTAAAAGTATATTTAACACCTAAAATTTATTATACATCCAATGCAAATAACCCAAGAGATCGTCAGGCTCCTATCTATGTATTTCTACTATTGTATCTTTATTCCCAGGCTTTTACTTCCAGTGAAAGCATTCACTTACAGAAAAGGAAAAGTGAGTACCAATTAAATTAAACATGTCTAATTTAACCACATTTTCATTTGAAAGAACTTTCTAAATTGTAAGTATGACCTGTGATTAAATATTTACTGTGTAGTACTTAACTAGAAATACCCAAACTTCCTAACATCACTGTTTTCAATTCATATATTTTACTGGGTAAATGTTTTCTTTCCTTAAGAATTTGTAACAAAAGCATTAAAAATATTTTGAAGCCATAAAACCTTCAATCCAATAAAATAGCATTTTTAAATCTGTGGCATTTATAAAATAGAAAGTCTACTCTCTCATCTTAAAAGTTTGTATATCTGAATTTAAATATTTTAATTATTTTCAGTATGTTCCTACCTTTCTGTTTGTCTAAAGACAAAACATGGATAAAAAACTAGCCTTTTTGCACTTCATGTCTTTATTGAATTGGTTCAAAATGAAGACATAAAAAACATACAATGAACAGGAAATAGTAGTCACAATAATCTTTTTCAAGCTAACTTCCAGAATAACATATAAGTGATTATTTACATTTTTAACTTAAGCTTACAGTAATCTTTCATTCTATCATACTGGCAAATACTTGTGCAAATAAATAAAAATAAAATAAATGATGCATAGTATGATTGTTTAACACTATTGCACAACAAACCAATGTGAGACTAAAATATGCAAGTAATATAAAATACACTTAAATATGTTGTCACAACATGTTTCATAAGTCAAGTTTCACCTACTTACTGTTTATAATTATCTCTGGGCTCTGGAGTTGGATGATTGCTTACCAACTCATTTCCATAGAGTACCTTATAATATTTACTTACTACTGAAAAATTCAGTGAGAAACAAAGACTTGCCAATTTATTTAATTTAAACTCACCTTTTCCTTGAGAAAAAAAGATATGTGGTCTTGGAAACATATTTGAAAGAAAATAGTGTTCATTCCTAGAAAAACACAATTCTAAATTCTTCATATGGTTCATAACAATTAGAGATTAGAAGTTACTGAAATGGAAATCTAGTAGGTGCATTAGTTTTCTAAATTCAGTACAGGTTGAGTTGATGGACTTTTTAAATACTGTACAAGTTAACTGGGGGAAAAAAACTAGTAAAAAAAATCAGGAAAGGAACTATAAGGTTAAGTAAAACTAACAATTCCTCTTATCACTAAGTTTATAATACCTTCCTGATCTAAAAATAAAACAAAAACTCAATTTCAGACAAATGAAATTCTAAGCCATAAAATTTGACACTGATCCTTATAGTTGATCAAAATTATAAACCAAAAGACAGAAAATACTAAATAAAAGATTTATACTAAGATCAGGCTGACTTCGATTTGATTGAACATAGTTAGTAAGGAGTTAGTGAATATGGCTGGATAAGCTATGAAAGAAAGCTACTTATATTAAACTGTAAGTGACAATGATCAAAAGTTCTATTTTAGTCAAAAGAAATTATAAATTTTTGTGAATTTTTAGTTATATAAGTAAACTATGCATTCAATTAATACATTCTCAGTGGTTCTTATTGTGATAAATGGATTTTCAACATTAAGCAGTAAAGTATGAAAAACGAGTAGGAAGTTAGATATTCTCTTAACCTACTCATATCTACATCTAAATATACCATAAAGAACTTAAATTCAAATACTTTTTACCTGCATACTCAGCAGTAATAATTACCACAATTATATTTATTAACGTGAGGTGGTTTGTTTTAAAATGCCTTTTTTATAAATTCAGCTACACAGAAATAAAAATATGTTTAAATGTGTAAGGTTTTACAGAGAAATTTCTGCATCTTGATAGGTGAAGTAGCGCATACCTATAATGCTAGATCCCAGGGAGGCTGAGAAGGAAGGATTACAAGGAGACCAGCCTGGGCAACTTAGCAAGACTCAGTCTCAGAATAAAATGAAAAGGGATGGGGGATGTAGCTCAGTGGCAGAGCACTTACCTAGAATTGTCGAGACCCCCCCCCAATCTTTTGTAAGTCTTAATTAATTGCATCTTAAAATACTGCAAAGATGCAGCAAATTGGAAAAATTAAAACTATTCTTCAGACAAGTTATGGAAAAAAAAGAAAGTAAAAATAAGGAACACAAATGAAGTAGAATGTATGTTCAACTAATGTACACACATGTGTAAAAAACCAGGTATGATAATTTACATTTATATGTTTAGTCTTGTGTTTCTGGAAAGGAAATTGAGTAATTACATTTTCACAGAATATGTAAGGCTCCTTCCATTATATAATCTATTTAATTAGGGACAACAAACACCTTGGGGATTTTTTCCCCCCTTCTCTTTTTTTGTAACAGAGAGTTAGCTGTTGAAGAGTTCAACCGGAAAAATGACTTCACATCAACTGAAAAAAACTAAAACCTCTTCAATTACAAAATTCCAAGTGTCCTATCAGCTATGATACTCTGATCCTAGGCACAAACAACAGCAATGTTTAATATGATATTTTGTTCAAACTTGTGATTATCCTAAAGCTTGAACAGCTAAGCACTAGAGTGTTTCTGAAGGTACACTGAATATGTTTTAACAGAAGAATATCTAAGTTAAGGACTCCACTGGAAATTATTTTCTGACAAGTGAGTATTTCCTAAAATGGCACAGCTTGGGCTCTCGGGTATTTATTATATACACTACATATACACATATATACAAACACATTACTCAACTGAAGTATTATGCTCCAAAAATTATGAAAGCAGTGTTTTGAATAGTTTAAGCACAAGATAACTACGGGAAGTATTTAAACTATCCAAGAAGCAATAATCATAAAACTCTGAACCTGACTCTTTTTAAGATTCTGTTCACAGAATCATTCTTCGAATGCCACATTCACAGCAAAACTTTGCCCATTCTACAGGGTATTTTGTCCCACACTCGTGACAGAATTTTGGTAAGTGTCCAGACGAGTTTCCTTCTATGCCTTTAATGTTTCCACCATTAAGTGCAGATGCATAGTCCCCATCTGGCCTGAAGACATGGAAAAGGAAATAGAAACATAAAATTCACATCAATAGTTATTAACCCATAACTTTTGAGTAACAGGATACATGATTAAAAACTAGCTTAATCTCAGTTTTAATATTCCTCTAGTTCAAATACAAAAGAATCACCATTATTAAGTGTCTTAATTTCAAGTGTTTTCTTTAACATTATCTTTGTTAGGAACAAAGATTAGGAATACTGATCAGGACCAAATTCAGCTAATCTTTCTGTTTTATGTTAGGTATTTACTACACAATAAAAAAAGGAAGAAAATTTATAATGTCTTTTCTGCAAAACTGTTCATTAAGAGCAAACTAGGATACAGACCTGAGGAAAGATGAAAGTCCTTAGGTTCCAGGTAACCCTCTTTGGCTATAAGAACTATGTGTGCTGTCTCCAATATTTATTTTATTAACTCTGATCTAATTATTCAATAATATTATTATGATATAATAAAAATTCAGGCTCCTAGACATGCCCCACTAGGGTGCACCTTATATTAATAAAACATAATGAAGGTAAAACAGATGCTAAAAAACTATAAAAAGAAATATGTGGTATAATCAAAAGTGAATGCTTAAATTTTTTTATAGTTTTTGAGTAAAAAGGCACACTACCATATATGCCTCTCAAAAAACTACCCCTCACTTAGAACACACCTCATGACTACCTCAATGTCCTTAATTAATTCAAAATGTTTACCTTTCTTGTCATTCTGACTTTGGGGAAAAGCCAGAAGTCACATGATACAACCCAGTGAATAAGGTCAATGAGGACACAACACTTTGGCAGAAGCTGCTCCACATGTTCTGAACCAATTTAAGACATCAAGTCAGCCACGACAGCACAACTAAAGAAATGAAAAACGACTTCCAGAACTGCCTCAAAAAGTGGCAAGAATGATTGAAGAAACAGGTTTGAAGTGAAGTGAGGGCAGTACTTTGACGGGGTTTAATGGTGGTATATCTTTTACTGTAATAATGTTTTACATTTTCAAACATTTAGCATATTTTTAAATTACACCTCATACATCATAACAACAGTTTAGAGCAAAAATCTCTGAGCTCCTAAGTGTTTCATCACAGCAATCAGACAATGAAGAAAATCAGAATCTACTGGAAAAACAACTATTCTGTTTTTATAAGAACATCATTACATTCCCTCCTGGCATGTGTTCTTCTAAGAACATGTAATTTACTTTAAAATCGCCATAAGGAAAACTCTTAACTCACCGGATTATAAGTACACTGCTGAAAATAATCTTTTCACAGGAATTGTTATTGAAGAACTCTAAGTGTTCTCCCATTTGGGTCCTTGCTTCATATAAACAGGTTAAAATCAGTAGACAAAGTGATTTTAGTGGCTTTTAGAGCAACTATACATCTAAAAGGTCCACAGATGAAAATGAAGCAAATCTAGCATTTTATACGTTTGAGTATATCTTATTCTCCCACAATTTTTGAGCAGTACAGGAGGTTGGAGAATTACTCGTCTTTTGTGTTGAGAGTAAGTTTATACCATTAGTATATTCCCTTTTAACCACAAAGAAAATACTAATAAAGGACATAATATTGGTCAAAGAAGAAAGCCAAGGGAAGATAAGCCAACTTTATTATTAGTGAAATATTTAAGAATTATATCAGAATATGAAAGATCACTCAAATACTGAAGTACGCACCTTTAAGGGAATCAATGCACACAGTGGTAGCTCAGTTCATGAACTTAAGTCTTTCCACCAATCTGGTATCAATGTTAGTACATATTTATCACAATAACACAATTTCAACTTAACTAGGTATTGCTAAATTTCTCTAGGAAAAATATTAAAGAAAGCTATTAAGATTTTAAAACAAAACATACCTGAATCTGTCATGTCTGTTAGCATATTTATACTCACAGCGTAGCGTCTGAGGTTTCTCAGTGACATGATTTCTAACACAGTATGTACTGTTTACAGAGATTTTTAATTTCCGCCTAGCCTTATATGAATGAAAGGGTAAATCTGTAGAGTTGATATATATATTTTTCTCTTTATGAGGCTGAACATCATTTCATGTTTCTTTAGTATTTATATTTCTTCCATGGTGAATTAATTGCCTGTCCCTCAACTGCACCAAATCCCAGAGCTACTATATGGGTTCATTTTAAAATTTTTATATGTAGATTCACTTATACTGGGCAGTAATTTGTTGCCGTCTGTATATAGTAATATATATACTGTATATACTATTATATATATAATAGGATATAATTATATCCTCTTATAATCTGTCATGTTATTTCACTTTACTCAAAGTTTTTTAGCGCTTTTTCTTTTCAATATGATCAAATATATCAAACTTTTGCTGTACAATTAGTGCTTTCTAAATTAGTCTCACGACTTGCTAACTAAAATGATAAAAAATTACCTACATTTTCTTCTAAAATATTAACAGCTTTCATTTCCATATTTAAGGCTTTATTTGTAACTGGTAGGTTTTTTTTTTTTTTTTTCCAGTGATCAACGCCAGTGCCCTGCACATGCTAGGCAAACATTCTATCAGTGAGCTACATACCCGGCTCTACTCTTTACTGCCTGATATGAAGGGATTATAGTTTCATAAAATTTCTTTTGTTTGGTTTTCTGAGACTGACCTAGAATTCACTATGTAGCCCAGGCTGGTCTCGAACTCACAGCGACCCTCCTGCCTCAGCGTCCTGAGTGCTGGGATTATAGATGTGCACCACCATGCTGGGTTTATAAAATTTCAATTATAAAGTTTCAATTATAAAAGTTTTCAATGTATGCACACCTATTTGTTCCAGCACGTCCCACTTCTGAAATCTACATTGCTCCCTCTGAAATATAACAGAGTCATTTTTGGAACTGCAATCTTTTTCTACACTCCATGATCATTTGTTTGTTTGTCTACCCTTGAATTAATATAAAACTATCTTAACTACTATAACTTCATACACTGTATACTTTTTAATGCATCCTGTCTAACATCAGGCTTCTGTTCTTCTCACACATTTGAAATCTATTTGTCAAGATTTGTGAATTTTGTTTCAAAATTGTACTGTATTTATTTTTAATTTATTTTATGGGGATATTTAAGGTATAGAATGTAGTGACATTCATCATTGGGAATTTGCACCTTTACATGATCCATCTTGGTTCTTATTTTTTCCCCATTAGCCTGCCCTCCTTTCAACCCCTCCACCTCCCTAATTACAAAGACTTTGTTTCTATTTTTATTTTTCTCATGTTAAATTATACTGTATTTATATATTAATTAGGGGAGAATATAGATAGCTTAGCTGGACAGATTTACAATATTAAAGATTTTCTTTTAAGAAAATGATAAAGCATTTTATGTACATTTTCTTTATTGTATTTGAAACTTTAAAATTTTTCTCCATCAAAATGAAGGTTCTTGCACTTTTAAACTGATTCCTTTGTAACTTAAATATGTGTGTGTTCATGTACAGGGAATTTCTAAATAGTGCATTTTCTATTTGTTGCTCAGGCAGACTATACTAGCTTTTAATATATTGATCTCATATTCAGAAAATTTACTGAGACTTCATTATTACTCAATAATTTGCCTTTTAGGGGTGTTGACATATATATGTGTATATATAAAATCATATTTTCTGTAAATAACAATTTTCCATATATTTCCTTCATGTTTAGGTGTTTTTAGTGGAAGGGTTTCAAGGTTATATGGTCCGTCATTTTTACAGGAAAGGAAATCTCTGACATTTCTTCATCTGTTCTAATTACAGAATGTTGGGGGAAGTGAAATAAGCAAGGCTCTGGGCTCTCCATTTTGTATCAATAGTTAAAAGATGAACAAATGTTAAAAAATTATTTGTTAATGCGATTTTGCTCCTGACTTTTACTTCATTTGTCTCTTGCTTACTGCTTTGGAAAGATAAGACAAGATGTTATTTAAACATCTGACTGTATATGTGCATATATACTTATTAACTTTCCCATTTTCTTAAGAAAATATTAATCCTGCACTCAGCCTTCATTCAAAATAACATGGCTCCACATATGTACAACACAGTAAACTGTACTTTAGACCGCTAAGAAATATATGCTTATTTATATTTAATATGTAGCAAACCCTTAGTACCAACAAAGAGTATTTATTTTAGTCTAGTTGGAAAGACAGCAATTTAACTAATCCTCTAAGGTCCTCATCTTATTACCTAGCATCACTCTTAAAGCTTTTTATATGGCAGAGGCATAGATGTCACTCTCCAAACCAAAGAAATCAAAGTGTCTGGAAAAGCTCTGACCATGTTTCATTTTAGAAAGTTCCAGAAATGATTCTCATGGGCAACTAGGACGGAGAGTATTTTAAATTATTAAAAAACTAACCCTGGATAAAATCAGAATAACAGATACCTGAATATGTTACATAACTATAACAAAAATAGACAATGTATATATACACATAATACTCATCACTGTTTTTTACTGTACCATAGAATGTTATTGACCTACACTGAAGAAACACTCAGAAAACAACCTATGAAATTCATTTCCACATTTGCAGTAGGGACATTAACAAGCTATGTACTGTGTCACCTAGTATTCTCCTTAGAACCCATGGAAGCACTTTTAAGGTCTTAGGACTAACTATAGTTTTTCAGAGAAACTGATCTGTTTCTAGTTTTTAGAATTCTGAATAATATACTGTGCCTATCTTCTCCTGTGGTTCTGGCAGTGAAAAAGTTTAGATCATACTTTGTGGCCCTGGGCTAAACTGAGTACAAGGTCTCATAACACATATTTTATAGATTAACTTTACTCCCATTGTATCTTTTAATTCTAAACTTTGTTTTCTTCCAATTCTTGGTCCATTAAATAAAAACAGTGAATCTCACTATACTTCATGGATTTATGTGCCTTACATTAAAACTCTCTGGAACAAGGTAACATATTTATAAAAATAACCATCCATAATTCAGGGGAATTATAGATTTAAAAGCGGAGAATGTCAGAATTATGTATCATGATGGATTAGAAAACCTCAAGGGATAGGTTTAAATCTTTCTAAAATGCTAAAAATTATAATGGCAGTGATTCAGTGGATTGATCATCTCACTTGCAGAAGTAAAATATCCACGTTACATTTAAACTTAAGGTATAAATATCCATATAAACTTAGTATAACTAAAACTGTTTTTGAGCGTGTGCAATAATATTGATAACTACATAGTAAATATTCAGAGTCACTTAAAACCCTATTAAATCACAGAATGAGGGAAAATCAGATTATCTATAGTTTGTTACCTAATTTTGTATACGAGAGACTCAGAAAGCTACATATATTCAGCTTTATTTTAGTTATTAGAATAGTATAGCTAGTCTAGCCTAGCATAACTCAGCATAGCATACCTAGCTATGTAGCTCTCAGTATGTGTTTTTCTTTTGCTTATAAATACACCTGCCGCAGAATTTCTTGCCAAACTGGGTGGTGTAGAATTTCGAGGTTTGATGTTAGTTCTAGAAGAGAGAAAGAAGTAACATGATGAAAAAATATTGAATTATAAACATTGTTTTTTTTTTTAAATTACGTATATGCATGATTAAGAGGCAAGAGATGTTTGAAAGATTAAATTTCAAATAATTACTTCAAGTCTGAAAAGAAGCAGTAGTTAATACTATGAATAAAGTATTTTGCATTAACCAACACAATCGTGTTATATAAAAATCAATTCAGATATTTACATATGTTTTATATGAAACTTATAAGTAATAATTCTGAAAGGCTTCAAAAGTCTAAATTTATAGTTCCCTCAAAAACCAGATGTCTTCTATCAAATGTCTATGAATTAACTATTGAGTAATATATTTAAATTCTTTTAATTGTCCTAAACACATGAGATGTGGTTAAAAAATAGCTAACCAGTTTAAAGGATAATATTCAACTTATGAAAGTTCTTTGAAAAAGTAATTAATGAGTTAATACAGTTGACCCTTTAAATATTTAATTTCACCAACTGCAAGGCTATCTGGTATCTGGTTGGATCATCAATGAATTCCATTCTAAAACTTTAGAAATCATAGAAAATTAGATGATGATATAACACTAAAAGATAGGCCTCAAGATTCATGTAAATACATCTAGATTCAAATTCCCACTGCTACTATCTACCTCTATGATAGGTGTCCACCTGAGTCTGAGTTCTCTTGCTGAACAAATGATCTCTTTATCTTATCCAAAAGTTATGAAATAAATTTACATTAATATTTAGCACTGCTGCTGCTAGTGCTATTAGTACTGTTATGACTACTAGTATTACTATAAGTTAGTTTCATAAGTTTACTGTATACCAAATACATTTCTATTGTTTTGCATGTGTAAACTTAATTTTAATTATTATATGAAATATGTATGTATTAATAATTCCATTTAACAGTTGAGGCAAATGAGATGAAACTTACCCAACCTGACAGAGCTAGTATGTTGCAAAGGCAGGGTTCAGATGTTTACTAAAGCATCATTCCCTCCCTTTCTTTAAAGAGTTAGTTAAATCTTTTCATTTCATATATAAACAATGTTGCATTATATAAACAGGTAGAATGCTGTTTCAAAAAGCTTTAAATTAGAAGTTCTTAAGTTTTGGCCAAAGTTCCTCTTACTCTACTTACATGGTAATGAGAGGCTCTCCTGAAATTGTAAATAACTACTTCTAATATACTTGTAAACAACTATTTTTCAAATGTCTGCTACATGTCAAATATGAAGCCAGGTACCACATTTACATTATTTGTTTCATAAATCAGGAGATAATATTCCTATTTCAAAAGTAAAGACTCCTTTTCTGTCCTTTTATTTATTTTATTTTTTTTAATTTTTTAAGACAGGGTCTTGCTATGCTGCCCAGCATGGTCTTGAATTTGTGAGCTCAAAAGTATTCCTCCCAACTGGGCCTTCCAAGTAGCTGGAACTACAGGAACACACTTCCATGCCCAGTTTGAAGAAGCTCAAGTTCAGAGATATTATTTAAATTGAAATGCTACCATGTGACAGATTAGTACTCAACTGTGAATTTCTGTGAGCTATACTATAAATCTCACACACATCATGCTACACTAACAATCACAAAATGAATGTTTTGAGTAGTTACTTCAACAATCAAAGAATTACTTTACAACATGGATCAGATACCCTGGCCTTTTTCAAGTGATCACTCCATGTCTGTTTCTGAAATTTATTCTACTCTGCTGTCCTACACCCCTTCTAGGGATGTTGAAGAACTACTACAGAGCTTTCTAGGAATTCAATATCTTTCAAAAAAATCATCACCAACAAATACATTTAAAAAGGAAGAAAAATTTTTCAGGCTCTGGAGGAAGGCTTGTTAGAAATCCTATCACCTTTATATACTACTTGTGCTAAAGAAATACGTATGACACAAACATATCCATGAATATACCTAGATAATCTCACCATGTCAATAATTTAAGGTTGCTTGAAATATTTACATTTAGAGGAAAATTTAAGAGATTATCAACAGCAGTTATGATATTAAATACCTATCAATTATTTTTAGTAATATTTTCTAAGAAGCAGAATTGTAATTGTTTTGATCAATATTTAAACCATGTTCCCCTAGTTTCATACAGTCAGACATTTTCCTTCCTAGTCAGAGTATGCAGAGTATTATCCTTTTTCTGTATCTGGAATTTGCTTGCTGCAACTCAGACAAATAATAAACCATGATTTAATAGTGGAACTAATACTTTATCTTACTGCTAGTCAGTTTTTCTTTGAGATCTGCTTAGGAGGGTAGAGACAGCAGTAGTAGTATACAGACAAATGCTTTAAGACAGAAAAATCTGCCTTCTAGGATTACTTAATAAAAAAATAACCCATATCTGCTGCTAATATTTTAAAGACTTTCCTCATTTTTATTATCATATAGTTCCATATATAAATAAGCAGAATGTTTTAGTAGCATTTTTAAATTATGTTAATTCTGTTTAACATATTTTTCAACATTAATAAATTAATATATTAGACTTATTTCATCATTTAATGAGGGTGAGACTTGGAGCTTAAACACACATTAGAAAACCTTGTAGATTCACACTGTAGAGTTTCAAAAATGACTGTAATTACTACACTTATCCCCAGTCAGCTATGCCAGAACACAGGAGAAGGTCTAGTGGTGTCATACCCCTTTTCTTGTTTTAGGTTGATTTTATACCCATTGAACAAAAAGGCTAAGGTTTGATTGAAAGTTTTCTGTGTTTTTTTCTAGCTGTAATAATTCATCATGTACTTGCCTAATAATTTAGTAATATTAAATGTTATACATGACACAATTTTCCCCCATGCTCTTCTTTGTAAAATTGCTTTTACAAACAAAAAAGCTGACCTAAAACAACTGTAAAAGGTGACTGCTATTAAATAATCTAAAAATTAGGACAATGGAATAAAATATATGATCTAAAAGCAGTGGTTCTTACAAACATTAAACAATAAAAATGTTTTAAATTGTGAAATGGGAAGAAAAGAGCTAAAGGTGTAGGGAAAGTGGGAAGGGTAGGGGAAAAGTAATAAGGGAAAAAATATGAGAAAATGAAAAAAATGGAAATAAAGTGTTTGTAAATGGGAAGGGGAGGAGGGAGTAAAGGGAGAGCAGGGACAAGGGGAAAAAATGAGAACCAAGACCTGTCATGTAAAGGTGTAAGATCCCAGTAACGAATGTAACTCTACTGTATACCTAAAATATACCAATAAACTCAATAAAAGAAAAAAAATGTTTTAAGATTTAAAAAGATACGTAGCAATTTCCAGTTTAAAACTATCAAGTTAAAACTATTTTTACGTATAAAGTAAAACAGTTTTCTATAATATAAAGCCTCAAGATAACAGACGAAAAAGGTTAGCCAAACTGAATTACAAAGACTTACTTGTAAATGGGTAATAACTCATGTCTTTTGAAGGCACTGTCTGATTTTGTATCACTGTCATATAACCTTTGCACATGTCTTCCAGTTCGAAGTGGAGGGCCTAATTTGTCCATCTTACTATTAAAATATATAAAGATGTACCCATAAGGAGATCGCTACTGTTTTTTCCTTAATTTTAAAGAAAAAAGATAATTCTATTTCCTAAGAAATCCATCCCATTTCTTAATTATCTGACTGCAAGGTGAGAACAAATATCAGAAAGAGTTCCCAAGAGAATTCATACAATGTTCATTATTAAACTCTTGACTATGCAGGTCACTTTGCCAGTTTTGATGCACATCCAGACAAATGCTGAACTCATACACAGCAGGGAAATAGAATCAGTCAGGAAAGCCAACATTGGTTTAAAAAGGAAATCATGAACTGCAAGTTGTTATTCACAAATAATCTAACTTTTCCTCTTCCCTAAACTGATTGAACCTTTTCTCTATTATTTTATTGTATAACTTCCCTTGTATTTTACAATTACAAATATAAAATAAGAACTGAATATTTACATATTAATCAGACCTGAATTTCTAAAAAAGGTGTTTATTTCTGAAATGTGGGGAAATAAACAGAGATGGCAATTCTAAAATTCATCTGTAAAATGTTAAATAACCACACAATGCGAAATTTTTTTTAACCCAAAAGTATTCAGTATCTCCACCTAGAGGACAACAGGACAAACTGCAGGTTTGCAGAACAACAGTTTTACATAAACCAAAGAACTGAATTAATTATATATCCTATTACCAACCAATATTTATTCATAGTCTGGACAAAGAAAATTTAATTAGCAATTAGAAAAACTATCTTAAATGATTATAATATAACAGTGCTTAATTTTAAAAGTGTATTCTTTTTAAATTAAAAAAAATTATTAGTACATGTTCGCAGTACAAATTATATTCATCATGGGAAGCTGGGACGAGCACATATATATATATATCTTAATTGTTTTCATCCTCTGCCCCTTCCCTCCAAGGAATCCACTCATTGTGTTTTTATTCATTCATGAATTTAATCATTTTTTAAATTCATGTAGTAAACTTGAGGCTCTACTATGGCATGTGTCAAACACTGTGCTAATTTCTAGGGGCACTGGCAAATTAGACAAACATGATGCTTGTTCTTACGGAGCTTAGAATCTAAAAGGAATATGCTCAGTTTTCTAGACTATAAGGGTCTCAGTGGAGGAACACATTATGCTCATCAGTATGCTTTTAAGTAGTCTACGTATAGCATGTATTTTAATGCAAAAGCATAAGGAGTGGTATTTATATACTAGAGATTAAAGCCTTAAAAATTGTTTTAATTAAATGCATAGTAAGCATAATTTCTAAGACATCTGAGATTAAAATATGTTTTTAATTTGTGAAAGATGTGGAATTTTAATCACTAAATAATTATCAAAGTATTGCTATCCAAACAGCAGTTATTTTCAAAAAGGAATCTGGTTTGCGAATAAGGAATAAAAGGGGGCCAGGGATTGAGCTCAGTGGTTCGGAGGCCTGCCTTGCAAGTGCAAGGACCCGAGTTCAATCCCCAGTACCAAAAAAAAAAAAAAAAAGTAATAAAAGATTTCAGAGAAAGTAAAATTAAAATTTAGAAAACTTCAGCTCAGCACACACAAGGACCTAGCATCACAATAGAATCAATCTACAGCATCACAATAGAATGAAAAACATTAGAAAAGTTTAAACTACATCTTAAACACGGATTCTTTTAATATGGTCAGACATAATTAAGTCCCACATGTGAATCTATAAAGTTCAATTTGAGAAAGAAAATGTATACAATCTATCATAAATATAGTTATTTTGAGGAAAAAGTGCATATGCAGAACTGATATTTTCAGATCCTGAAAACACAAATAAGATTCCAATGATGATTTATTTGTGTCACATACTTGTGCTAACAAACTCAACTCAAAATATATATAAGTATACACACACACAATTTAAATATGTACTAAATGATTCTTAGGCTAAAAATGACTTGAACTTATATTTTGTTATAATCTGCTATTGTTAGGCTATGTACTGAAATCAAAATTTATAAATCTCGATGAAGATTTTATATATTTTATACTTTTGCATGCTTCCAAAAGGTTCATAACTGACCATTTTAAAAAATGTTTGGCAATCATATTAATGCCTTCCTAATTTGGAATGAACTTTAACCTAAGAAAGATCCTCATTTACTTTTAAAACCAAGAACCAATTCATTTAAGAACTAAGTCACTCACTCTGGTTCTCCACATATGTTGTAAGATTGTAGAAAGTACAGTAAAATGAGATAAAATAAAAAGATGATGTCTAAATTCATACTGGTGAAAAATTTTACCACGTGGCATTTTATATATCTCTGTGGACCTCTGCAGTTACAATGGTCTAAGGCACTCAAAGTTTTGAAGTGTACTAGTTATTTACTTTGATCTGCAATCTATTCATCTGTCACAGAAAATTCATTTCAAAGGCAAAAGTAGGTCCCTAACACAACAGCTTCATTCATTTTTATCTCTATGAGGAAACCTACATTCTGTAATTCTAAATTAAGATACTTCTAGGTCAGTAAGACAGGAAAGTTCATAAAAATCTAAATAATGCTCCAAGTATATACAATTTATACCATCAAAAGATTAGCTTATAAAAAAGCATGTTTCTATTCATATAAAAAACACATTCCATACTTTTTTCAATACAATGAAGTATGAGAAACCAAATTAAATTTGTAACTAAAAATGTATCTCCTATGCATTTCCTGTCTCTAATTTTACCTCATTTATTACAGTCAACCTCTGAAGTAAACTTACATTTTTCATAAGTGAATAGAAGTAAATTTCTGATAAATATTTCAGCTATTGAAAATTAGGAGATATACAGTGAAGAGGTAGTCATACATTAACAAAATACAGTTCTAAGTTCCAATTGTGTAAACTGTGACACAACTCATGTGTGGCAATATTTACTCAAAAGCTCAGGGTTTCATCACACTTCTAAAATTCCCTAGGATAAAAGCAAAGCATTTTATAATAAGGAAGCATTTTCCATCAGGGTGTGTTTTGCCTTAAATTTTTTTAAAAAAACATTTTGGCCCATACATACATTCAGGCTTTAAATTATCAACAGTCACAGAAATGAAGTCAATTACTTGTATCAGCAAATACTCAATTTCTTGAACATTATAGTTAGCTAGATGTCTTAATTCCATCTTCACTCAACATTGAATTAATTGTTTAAATGAGAAATACAGTTGCCACACATACTTCAAGTAATTTTATTTCTGCCAGGACCCTGCTATGATGTGTCAATAGGTGTACAGATGAGAGATTTAATTTATTAATGTATTTTTTCACTTATCCACTTTTATTGTATGTCTATACGTCAGATTTTCTGTTAAATTTTGGAGTTGCTTCTGTAATGCTGCCATCTCTGTCATCATAAAATTTACAACCTAGCACAGGAAACAAATACATCGTTACCTCAACAATTCTAAAAAAGGAGCGACTTCTGTTACTAAACAGTTGTGATTTCTCTAATTTAATATAGTAATATAAACATTTCTAGTGACTAAAGAAAACATACTAGTCAGAAACAAACACTAACAGTCTCCAATAATTGAAAACCCTCCTTTAATACAAAAGGTTCTTATGGAATCAGAATTTGAACAGCTATGATTGACAGTTTAATATAATGTGAGACAACCAAATGTCTAATCTACAACTCATAAAAGTATTGTGCTCAAAATCTCTGACTCGAAGTCAAAACATATTTCCTTAGGTGTTGTTCAGATTTTCTTAGATCAGCTGTCAAGCACTGAACAGTCACACAATATTGTCATAGCAAAACAGAGAGATAAGCTCAAAGTTATACATTTATTTAGTGGCATAGAAGAATGTAGAATCCTAGTTTTTCTAACTCAAAAATCAGGACCCCGTTTTTATGTCAGTTAGCTTCATATGTACTATTTAAGAACAGTCTGTCAATACAACTTAATATCACCAATTGATAAAATCACCAATATGATACAAGTATTAAAAATACTGTCTTTTAATTCATAGTCAACTATAAGGAAAGCATAAACCATTCAGCAAACATTATAGTCTAACACAGAAGGCAATTATTTTTGAAATGGTAAAAAGGTTTTTATAAAGTTAATTGTTTCATCTAAACTTCACTAACCAATGAATCAACTCAGAACAGAAGAAAAATATTACATCAGTTTCCTACCAATGGAGGAGAGTCCCATATTTTTCAACTACCTGTTGTTACTGTCAATCTGTGTCTTTTTACCAACAGTATGTCTCTTCTTTTTGGAAGGGAGATGTAGGGGAAAGCTAAGAAGGGAAAAGAAAAAATAAGAGAAATGGAAAAAAATGCAAACAAAGTTTCTGTAATAGGGAAGGGTGGAGGGGGTGAAGGGAGTGCAGAAGAATGGGGAAAAAATAAGAACCAAGATATATCATGTAAAAGTACAATATCCCAATGATGAATGTAACTATACTGTACATCTAAAATGTACTAATAAAGAAAAAAGGAAAAAAAAAAGAAAAAAAAATTACCTCATTAGAACTTGTTGACTTTTTTCCTACAATGTTAATTACATTAAACTTTTTAGAACTTGAATTTCTTATGTGTTCTAAATTGAGAAACAAAAGGTAATTAATCTTACTTGATAAGTACCCTTGTATATATTTCTAAAATGAAAAACAAAGGAAACATGAACCAGAGATAAATTATACTTTAAAATAATGTACACTGTATTTTATTAACCACCTGTATCAGCTTATGTAAAGATACAAATATATGCTTTAATTGAAATGGTCCTGTGGCAATCCCTTAATTCTCTGATTTATTAAAGTAGAAAGAAAAGTGAGTTTATAAATTAGGTAGCTTTATATAAAAATCTCCAGCATTACAAACAATTTTTCCCCATGTAAATGGATAAATGAAAGTTTATTTCATTAAAAGCCATCTATATGAAAGCATAGAAAGATAAAAAGCATAAAAAGTATTAAAAGGAAAAGAATCACCCACTATTAACATTATGGTGTATTTTATTGGCCCTTTTTGTTTACCTAAATTTGCAGTTTTCACTATACTACATCATATTATACATGGAATATTGTCTTACATGTATTATAAAATAATAATCTCATTAAAGATTATTTATATTTTCTTTATGGTAAAATATCCTTTTGTAGATATTCATAATTCACCATTCAATCAAAGCTAGACATTTAGGTGATTTACTTTAAAAACCATAGTAAGAACATGTAAGAGTGCAATGTTTCAGGTCAAACAGATCTCAATTGTGCCTTGCTTCTTAGTAGCTAATGTGACTCTGAACAAATTATTTTACTTCTCTGACTCTATTATTCTATGGATCTGCAGTAGTTTCAATGAAAATATGTGTAAAATATCTAGTGCTAACTTGGTACACAATGAATCAATAAATTATAGTCATCAGAAAAATTTCTATATTTGACATTATTTTCTGAGTTGCCCAGAAGTAAAAACACATGAATATTTTAAGGCTCATGATAAATCCCACCAGATCATTATTCCACCAGATTATTAAAAGGACTGCATTAATTTAATTTTCAAAAGCAGTATTACTTTTGACCAGCAATATATTAAAAAAGAAATGAACTGTTATTTGTGTATAAGAAGGCTATTAATTTTTGAGTGTTGACGTTGTATCCAGCTACTCTGCTGAAACTGTCAATTAAGTCTAGAGGTCTTTTGGTAGAATATTTTGGGTCTTCAATGTAGAGTATCATATCATCAGCAAATAATGACAGTTTAACTTCTTCCCTTCCTATCTTTATTGCTTTAATTTCTTTCTCTTGTCTAATTGCTGTAGCTAATGTTTCCAGAGCCATATTAAAGAGGAGTGGTTATAGTGGGCATCCTTGTCTTGTTCCTGATTTTAATGTGATGAAGGTTTTCAGTTTTTGGCCATTTAATATTATGTTGGCTGTTGGTTTTTCATAGATAGCCTTTATTAAGTTGAGATGTAGACCATCTATTCCAATTTCTTGCAGGGTTTTTAATCATGAATGGGTGTTGAATTTTGTCAAATGCTTTTTCTGCATCTATTGAGAGGATCACATGGTTTTTGTCCTTGACTCTATTAATATAGTGTATTACATTTATTGGCTTACATATGTTGAACTATCTTTGCATTACTGGAATAAATCTGACTTGGTCAGGATGTATGATCTTCTTGATGACCCTCTGTATTCTGTTTGTTAGTATCTTATTCAGGATTTTTGCATCTATATTCATTAAGGAGATTGGCCTCTAGTTCTCTTTTTTTAGTTGCATTTTTCCCTGGTTGGGGAATAAAAGTAATATTTGCTTCCAGGAATGAATTTGGAAGTATTGCTTCCCTTTCAATTTCATTGAAAAGTTTAAAGAGTAGTGGCATTAGTTCTTCTCTAAATGTCTTGTATAATTCAGTGGTGAATCCATCAGGACCTGGGCTTTTCTTTGTTGGCAAACTATTAATTACATTTTCAATTTCAATGATTGTTTTTGGGGTGTTTAGAATTCTTTTATCTTCTTCATTCAAGTTTAGTAATTCATAAGTATCTAGAAATCTGTCCATTTCTTCTGTGTTTTCCATTTTATTAGAGTATAGGTTCTCAAAGTAGGTATTGATGATACTCTGGATTTCTGTTGGATCTGTTGTGACTTCACCTTTTTCATTCCTAACTGCTTGGATCTGAGCCTTTTCTTTTCTTTTTTTGACAAGATTAGCTAAGGGTTTATCAATTTTATAGTTTATCAATTTTATTTATTCTTTAGAAAACCAACTCTTCTATTCATTTTTTGTATCATTTTCTTAGTTTCCAATGCATTGATTTCTGCTCTAATCTTTCTAATTTCCTCTCCTGTATGAGTTTAGGGTTTTTCGTGCTCTTCTTTTTCTAGGAGTCTAAGATTTAGTATTAGGTTGTTTATGTTGCGCGGGGTTGTGGGAAGAAAGGAACCCTTCTCCATTGTTGGTGGGAGTGCAGACTGGTGCAACCACTATGGAAATCAATATGGAGATACCTCAAAGAAAGAGGATTAGAGGATCCATTTGACCCAGCCATCCCTCTGCTGCGTATCCTTCCAAAATAATTAAAAGAATCATATCACAGTGATATATGCACAACCATGTTGATAGCGGCACAGTTTGTAACAGCTAAAACTTGGAAACAGTCCATTTGCCCATCAGTTGGAGACTGGATAAAGAAGATGTGGTTTTTCTATAAAATGGAATACTACTCAGCCATAAAGAATAAGAAATTAGACTCATTCATAGGAAAGCGGATGCATATTGAGGTCATACTCTTAAGAGAAATAAATAACTCACACATGTGTAAATATTGAATAGTTTCTCTGTTGTGAAACTGTAATAGTTAAAAACTGTAATAGTACATAAGATCCTAATGAGATAATTGACAATGTGAAGTAGGAAGAAAAGGGCTAAAGGTGTAGGGAAAGTGGAAGGGTAGAGGAAAGGAAATAAGGGAAAAGAAAAAAATGAGAAAACGATAAAATGGAAATAAAGTATTTGTAAGTAGGGAAGGGAGGAGGGGGTGAAGGGAGGGCAGGGACAAGGAGGAAAAATGAGAACCAAGACCTGTCATGTAAAGGTACAAGATCCCAATGATGAATGTAACTGTACTGTATACCTAAAATGTACCAATATACTCTTGAGAAAAAAAAAAAAAAAGAAATGAACTTAGAAAATTAAGCTTAATGAAAAGGCCTATTATCTCGAACAAAATTAAATGTTAATATCATTTAAATATATATCACTAGTAAATTATTCCATGTGTACTTACCCTGCTTGAGGAGCTGCTACTGCTTTATGAGAGGGAGATAAGGCCTGAAGTTTGTTCCCCAAAGAGCTATTAACTGAAGACACTTTTCCTGAAGGCACACCTTATAATAAAAAATAGCAACAGTGTTAAGAATACTCTAAAAAACAAAATTCACATGAAAAACAGAGTATCTAGAAAGGCAAAAATAATTTTTCAGTAATGTTCTTTATGGATATAAATAGTTGTAAAAATAAAAACTTGTATTTCTAAGGGAAACTGGTGTTTCTAAAAAACAATGTATTTCTAATGTCTATTTTATAATTTACACACAAGTGAAGGCACATTTTAAGGGTCAATGATTTCTTCAAACCATTAAATATTTATTAGGAACAACTGTGAAGTTCAGATATAAATCAATACGGAAATGAAAGAAAAATATTGTGGTTAAAGACAAGACCGTGGTCAACTATTCTGAGTAGATGATAAATCAACATAAATATATGACTGGGCATTTAATCAAAATAAAAGCATAAAACCAATAAAATATCCAAAGTAGAAGCTTCTGATACTTATTTCACTTTTCCTCAGAAATAATTACTAATCTACATTTTTAAAATCTATTTTAATGATCTACAATAGACCACTGTCTTTATTATTGACACTTTCTAAAAAGTTATTTTATGGATGTCATTACCTACAACAGTTTTGCTAGTGGCACTTGGCTGTGGTAATCGTGAAGATCCCGATGATGTGGTTCCAGGAGAATTTGACTTTTTAAGTGCAGGTGGTTTATACTAAAATAATTAAAATAAAAATTCTATCAATATCATTTCTAATGATGAATTGTAAACTAATAATTCAAAGCCTTACATCCTCCAAATATAGAACTTTAATTGCACAAGAAGAAAAGAGCTATGGAGATGAATCATGGTGGTATTTGCACAACATTATGACATATTAATATCATTGATTTGTATGCTTAAAAATGGTTAAGGTATAAGTAAAATATTTCTATTTGTAAAAAATTTTTATTGAAATTGGAAAAAGTCCTTTTCTGATAAAATGACTGAATTGACCCTTCAATGAAAAACTAAAAATGTCTTGGAAAGCAGAACAAAGTATATTAAAAATATATGGAAGTATCACTTTAAAAGCAATGAATATTACATGAGAGCAAAGGAAATTGCCAGTTCAACTGTTTTTGATATTATAACAACTGTCTGGCCATCACATGGATTTTTCTGTATAAGGCTAATCAAGCTAATATACACCAATAATTTAATTTAAAATTTTTACACTGACAGTACTCTTAGTTAACAGGAATAAACAAGCACAGATTTCTTTAGGAAAAGGTAGCTCCCATGAATAATTATCATACATACTTTTTTAGATGTAACAAGCAGAAAATAGTAAATATTAATCATGGATAAGAAAGTATGAGTGATGGGAGAAAAGACAGCAGGAATGTAACTATCGAAGCCACCTGATATAATTATCTGACATATATTTCAACAATTATGTCCACATTGAAAAAAGTCTAAAAATATTAAATTATAAGCAACAAAAAGGAAAATAGAAAAATAGCAAGCTTCTAGAAAATAAAAATACACTGACACATTAAAAAATCTGTGATGGAGAGGCGAAGTAGCCATACAAGGCTCTTATAGATAACATCTACAGGAGGATTTTTTAAAAATATTAAAAGGCTAGGAGGGCCAGGGATTTAGCTCAGTGGTTCTGCTGCATGCCTCATATGCACAAGGTCCTGAGTTTGATCCCAGTACCCCACCCCCACCTCCCAAAAAAAGAAAGAAAAGGCTGGGAACCATACAAGATTTGTAACTACTCCCTCTGGGTATAACTGCCTAAGATAACTTCTTAGTGCTTTTTTTTTTTTTTTTTTTTTTTTTTTTTTTTTTTGGTACCAGGGATAGAACTCAGGTCCTTGAGCTTGCAAGGCAGGTGGCAGAACCACTGAGCTAAGTCCCTGGCTCTCAGTGTTAAAAATAAAAAAAGAAATACCATCTCACAGAAGAAGAAAACAAAATTCAAGTTTGATTTATTATTTATAATATAGAGCCTTCAACCAAAATTTACTAGGATAATATGATGTGCATTTGACAAAAATGAACATCAACCGAACTGAGTCGATATACATACATACAAGTGTAAAATTTTGCAAATAAGGTCTTTAAAGTAGTTGTAACCACATCAAAAAACTTTAAGAATTAAGGGAAATATTGTAAACACATTAACAGTGAATGAGCAGATAGGGTATCCCAAAAGACAGGCATTTTCTGCCAACCATAAAGACTGATGAGAAATGAAAAAAGATGGTAAAATAGAATGAAGAGGTCTGGTAATGATAAGCAAATAAGTAAACATAAAACAAAGTATGTATATGTATACATAAATATTTTGTGTATAAAGATGATTATAGATTTTCTTCTAGTATCTTTCAAAGTAGTTGGCTTTGATAACTATATCCATCAAGAATAGTGACAGTTTATACTGTTTAGAGTTATGTATAACAATAGCACTAACAATGGCAAGAGGTAAATGGAAATATGCATATGATGAAGATACTTTTTATTAAAGTAACTAAAAGAAAAGGAAAATTATAGAGACAATAGAAAAAAAGAAACTTCTGTGAAAAAGCAGCACAAGAATTATATACATACATATATGTAACAAAAATTGAGGACAGCAACATGGCAAGTCTACACACAACCTACCGAGAATAAGTAGACTAAAGGAAAATATCTAAACACTTCAACGAAAACGTTGTGATTACTAGACTGAATCACAAAAAACAAAACATGAATCAATTATAGGCTAGTCTGCAGGCTATGCAAAAACATATTTAAGTTATAGGAAGAAAATAAGTGAACATATTAAATTAAAATGATTATATTTTTATCAGATTAAACACACTTTTAACAAAAGGAATGTTGTCACAGAAAGTGATACTTCATAATGATAAAAGGGACAATAAATGAGATAAATATAATAAACTGCAAATACAAACCCTAAGATACTCAAAGTACTTGATGTAAAAGTAGCAAAACGAGACAGAAAAAAATTATAGTCCATCATTTTAATAAACTTCCTTCAATAATTGATAAGACATCCAGGAAAACCAGTCAGAATCAGCCACCTTAAACTGACATTTACAAAACTTCTTCAATGATGGAATACTTAGAAGAAAAGTCAGTCAGAAGCAGCCATCTTAAAAAATGGCTGCAAATGCAGAATACACATTTTCTTTCCTACACGCCATGTGGCATCCACCAAAAGGAGACCATATGCTAAGCAATAAAACCAATTTCAGTATGATAAAAATACCGCCAACTATGTTCTCAGATTACAACAAAATTAAGCTAAAAATAACTGTAAAACATTGAGAAGAATCCCATTATCTATAAGTAAATGATATGCTTTGAAATAAACTTTTTTTTGTAAGATACAATCAGAGAAATACTGGAGTAATGAATTAACAGACTGTTTCGTTAGAAAGACATAATAAAATTCACAAACTAGAGTAGCTAGATTGATAATGGAAGAAATTTTACAATAACTACATAAAATTAAAAATTTAAATTTAAAAATTAACAAAGTTTTATTTAGAAGGGGAAAAAGGAATAAAAGACAAAATATCAGTTTTCAGAATGAAAAAGAGAATATCAGCATAAATTCAACACCATAGAAGGATAATAGTTTTAGGTCAATAAATTCAACTACACTGATGAAATTACTTAAAACATACAAGTTTCAAAATTGACAAAAAAAATACAGCATTTGAATGCTACAGCTAATAAAAAAAATTGTAGTAATCAAAAAATGAACACCTTATAGCTAGAATCTTAACTGAATTCTAGCAAAAATATAACAACAAACAAAAAACCTAATACAGCATTTGAATGCTACAGCTAATAAAAAAAATTGTAGTAATCAAAAAATGAACACCTTATAGCTAGAATCTTAACTGAATTCTAGCAAAAATATAACAACAACAAAAAACCACTACTACAAAATTCAGAAATTATTATGAGGCCCATGTAATTCTGATACCAATCTCAGTTAAACTGTAGAACAATGTTCTTCATGTGACTAGATTAACACTTAACCAAATTTTAGCATATCAAATCCAAAAATATATTAAAAGGACAATTCATTACTAAGTAGAATTCATGCATGGAAAGAAAAATTGATATAGTATCTGAAAGACAGTATAATTTATTATATTAATACTATTGTTATTTTATTAATGTTTTATCATATTAATAATATTCATTATCTTAGATTAAAAAACAGTATTTGACAAAATTCAAATCCCTTTGTGGTTAAAAAAAAAACACAGTGAAGAAGAGAAATTTCAAAGCCTCAAAGTGTAAAAATAAGAACTCACAGTTAATATCAAATGCAATGGTGAAAAACTGAATGCTTCCCATTCAAAAACAAGATCATGACAAGGATGTCCACTCTCAACATTTCTATCCAACAATATATGGATAGATCTACAGTACAACTGCAACAGTTTGCATCCGGAAGGTTCCTGAAGGTCAGTATGTTAAAGGTTGATCGCCAGCTTACCGCTGTATTGGAAGGTGATGGAATCTTTAAGAGAAGAGGCCTAGTGCAAGGCTAGACCATAGGGCTGTGTCCCTGAAGGGGCTAGGTAATGTCTTTCTCTTTTTCTTTTCTGTTTTTGTACTCAGCCATGAGGTGAACAGTACTTATCCACACACGTGCCAGCCAAGAGGCACTGTGCTACCACAGATGTAAAGCAAAGGGGCCAACTGGTTATACGATGGAAAGTTCCCAAACTGTGAGTCAAAAATGATTATCCCTTCTTTTTAAGGTAATGATCAGATATTTGTTATTATCATGAAAGGCTGTCAGCAATAAATCACAAAAAAGAGGAAGGCGTACAGAGTACAGAGTAGGAACTAAAACTGCTCTTGTTTGTAGGTGACTTGATTATATAAATAGAAAAAAATCCCAAGAAAGTTAAATGTAACAAAATATGTGCATGACCTAAATATTAAAAATTAAAAAAACTGGGCCAGGGATTTAGCTCCATGGTTCTGCCACCTGCCTCACAAGCACAAGGTCCCAAGTTTGATCCCAAGTACCAAAAAATAATTTTAAAAAACTAAAAGATTAAAGTAAAAATCTAAATAAGCAGGAAATCCAGTAAGTTCATGGACCACACCACACTATTAAGGTGCTGATTCTCTGACTTACATACAATGTCATCTCTGTCAAATCTAGTGGCCTTTTTAGTTTTAGAAATTAACAATTAAAAAATACATATATAAATGTAAGTAACCTAGACTAGCCTAACCATTTTTTAAAAGGAAAAAAATAGGAGAATTTCAATGATCTGATTCTCAGGATTATTAAGGTGCCATTTTTAGTACAGTGGTAATATGATGTTGACTAAAGGACAGACATATACATTAATGAAACAAAAGGTTTGTCCTGAAGTTAAACCAAATATATACATTCAACTGATTTTCAACTGAATGCCTAGATAATTCATTAAGGAAAGAAAAATCTTCTCAACAATAGGTATTTTCCCCATAATGATGACGATAAAGATGATATGGTTTATTTCCGATATTTTAAAAGATTAGTACTACTAATCTCCCAAAGAGGCCCCTATTGCATTGGGGTGTTTTGATCGAACATTTGATTCATAATAAGAGATAGAGACTTGATTTATTTACTGTATGCTAGGTTTACAAAACTTAAAAAAAAAAAAAAAAAGTTGCCCAAGCTGTGAGCTGTGGCAAACACCTGTAGTCCCAGCTACTTTAGAGGCTGACATGAGTATGTCGGAGTCCAGGAGTTGGAGGCAGCATGGAGAAACCCTGACTCAAGAGGGGCAAAACAAAATGAAACAAAACAAAAAAACTGTTCAAAAATGAAATCTTTGTCAATATAGAAATCTGCTTAATAGGCTGCATTATCAATGTTTCTGTTTAATGGTATGCTTACAGAAAAATAATAGTACTATAAATTAATTTACCAAAATGTTTTCACATACATGACATTTGCTTCTCACAACTATGATGCAGATTATCATTTCATGGATGAAATGTAGCAATCAGGATTTAAATCCAAGTTTTCCTTCCTTTGTATTCATTACATATTCATATATTGCTTGTATATAATATAGAAATCACAATATTTATGTGATTTTCAAACTGTCTTTTCATGCATCTTTCTCAGTCTTCAAATATTTCTGGGATTCCTCTGAATCTGGACCAACCTATCTTTAATTTTTCTCTTTATTACATGTTAATATAGGATATTTTGCAAATCCATATTAACTTTTCATATCAATTAGCTTTAACGTTTCTTCATTTAGCATTTACATTTGTTACTAAATTTCTTAGAACTATTAAAATACATCTATTTTAGCTGGTAAGAAAAATATAGTTTAATGGTCTGTAGGCCATGTACATAAAACTATGAATCTAAAAGCATCTTGTTCTTATTTATAGAAATAAGTAAAATTGAGTTTTCTACCTGTGTCCTAGTAGTTGGTTTTCCTTTGGTATCAGCAGAAAATTTGCCTTTATTACTAATACGTGCTGCCTGTTCTTTACAGAAATTTATATGTCTATCAGCCGCATTTTCATTGAATCTCCTCTGGCAATATGGACACTGAATATAATCTAAAACAGATAAAAAGGAACAGATTAATAACAAATACTTGAAAATGGATATTAAAACAATCACTAACTTTTATAAATGGCAAATCAAGATCTGTAATTATTATTTCTGAAAAATAAAAATCCTGATTCTGTATAACATCCAGCCTGCCTTATCTAAACAGTAAAGTATTCAGGCTAGAAGTCCACTAAATTAATTCTGATTGTTTCCTCACTGTGAAGCAAATTTAGAAAAAACTGAAAGGAAAAAAAAAAAAGAATAAAATATAAATTCTCAGCATAAAATAATAGAAGAAAAATATCATTTTGCCTCTATAATAGCATGTGCTTTCATCATAAATACAAATTTTATGCCTCAGATTAAATAGTAATAACACATTAAAATGCAACTTAAAGTATGGCTTCATCTATAAAATCTCTTATTTCAATTAGAAAAAGACCATCAAGAAATAGTTTAATGAACTCCCAACAATTTTATCTATTTTTTGTTCTGTTTTGTTTTTTGAGACAGGGTCTCACTATGTAGTTGAGACTGACCTGGAACTCACTAAATAGCCCAGGCTGGTCTCGAACTCACAGTGATCCTCCTGCCTCAGCCTCCCGTGTGCTGGGATTACAAGCATGCGCCACCACACCCAGCAACAATTTTATTTCTCATAGAAGCCAAAACAGATGGAAGGAGTGATTTAAATTTTTTTAAAAAACTTCATTTATGCAACTAATTCAAATTTTAAAAAACTGGGACTATTTCCAAGATAATATACACTCCCCAAATGCAGCTCCTATAAATAAAATTTCTTGTAAAATTAAATCTCAAAATTAACACAGAACTAAATTTTGTAGAATTCTAAGAGATCTCAAACAAATGAGACATTGAGAATAAACATAAAAATTTAAGCAGTGTCAAAAAGAGAAGCTATTAATTTCAAAAAGTTTACGATTTCATATGGCTTCATTTTGTCAACACTGTGTTGTCTTTTGAGTTCTTTCTTTGCGCCCCACATTTTTTGTTTTGTTTTTTAAAGTAGAAATTCCTTCCAGTTTTATTAGACTCTATGTCTCAAATTGCATGAACCTTTTCTGGCTGTTGGAAACCTGAATGCTTTTAGACACAAATGGAAAATTTCTGAAATGCTCTATTATCTATTTCTAAACAAGCAATTGACTTAAAACTTTCTGTGGCAACTTTTAGTTTTCTGATGGCTCCCAGTGAGAGAAATTCTGAAAGTACACTGGGATCACTAGGACACTGATTTCATGAAGGTTTGCTTGGGATGAAAAAGCATAAGGAAGCTTTAACAGTGCCGAACTGTGTGTTTAAAAATGTGAATTACTTACTGTTCAGATTAATGGGCTGGGGGAACGTCAAAGAACTTCACAGGTTGTGTTGATGCTCTTTGTTGAGTCTTGAAAATTAAATATTAACACTACGGAAATGCATGAGTTCAATATATTTTTTTGTCTTTGCACTGCACAACTTTTAAAATTATTTAATTTCCTTAGAAAAACAGCGCCATTTGGAAAAAAATGGTGTTATGAAGAACGTAAATGCACTGTTTTTATTTTTATTTTATATAATTTAAATTGACTTTCCCACTGTCTGTAAGTTGAAACTGTTAAGCTAAATAAAAACTTAAGCTGCAAATCGATTTTAAAAAAAGTTTACTTTGGGATAAGGAGTGTGCACTCTGGAATTTATATTCATCTAAAGCTCAGAAATCTGTTCTGCTTACAGATCTAAAGCCTGTTATAACAAAGAAACTGTTTTTGTCAAGCCAAAAAAAGATTAAATAATTTCTAAATCCCAAATTATCATGAAGAAATAGCACTGTCTCACTCACTTACTTGGGAAGAATATAGCTGTTTAGAGTAAGATGCAAAATCTTAATACCTTCAAAGCAGAGGACTCACTCTCATGGGGAAAAGAAAGTTAGACTCAGAAGAGATCCAAGCCCAGTTGAACCATCTTGGACATACAGAATTACAGTTAATTAGTAATATTCTAAAACAAGGGTTGACAAACTACAACCTGTGGGGCAAATCTAGTACATCTGCAGCTTGTTTTTGTATTATAAATAAATAAAGGTTTACTGGAACACAGTTATGCCCGTTCATTTACATAATATCTATGGCTTAATACAACAATGAAAGTTAAGTAGTTTCAATAGAACTATGACATGCAAAGCCTAACATCTGTTATGAGTCTTTGAATGAAAGTTTGCAACTTCTCTTCTACAATAAAATGTTAAAAATGATCATATCTAGGTTTGCTTAAAAGTACTCTTTGCTAAGAAATTACAATCTATCTCAATTTTAATGTTGCTAATATGTTACTTAAAATAACAAGCTCTTAGGGTTGTTCTAATGACCAATAACGAAGTATCAATTGTGCTGTATTTTAAGTTTATCAGTACCTCCTCTCATAAGGGTTTTCCAGAATCTTGCATTACTTTGGTAACAATGAACAATGCAACTTTTAGGTGCCCCATAAAGAAAATACAACAACAAAAGAATTGAAAGGATAATTCAGATAGTCTTCATCATAGTTTCTACACATGAAGTGTGCATTTTACAAATAAGATTTTGCCTTATCTTCTTTCCACATGAGAGGATACCAAAGAACTAGGCAACACATCTGAATCCTATTGAATGATGATATTTCAACCTACAGTGAGTGAAAAATTAAATTATTTCCTAAAAGCCAGGGTGGTCGAGTATACCTGTAATGCTAATACTTTGAGAGACTGATGTAGGAGGATCATACATTTGAGCCCATCTTTGGAAACATAGTGACTGAGCAAGACTTAGCAAATATAATTTTATATTTGAATATAAAATTAAAATCTGAACTGTAATGTAGCTCAGTGCCAAGGCTGTGAGTTCATATCCATTACTGAAAAAAAAAATTCCTTTTATTTTAAAATTTAAATTAAACATTTAAATTTAATTTTAAATTTAAATTATCACTATTATTTCATACCAAAACATTTAAAGATTATGCTTTACTAGGTTTCATTATGATAAATTGTTTTGTAACAAAAAGACTTTACAAAAATTCTATTGTTCTCTATTCACATGAACATTTTTGTCAACAGTATTCCATATACCAGGATCATAAGAAGGTGGAGGAGGAGGAGGAAGTTTGCCACCCTCTTTAAGTGCCTGATCCAGGCCTTTAGCTGCTCTTATGGTAGCAATGAATTCTTCATGTTTTCTTCTCCAGTTAGATGGTTTCTTTGGTGGTTCTGGCTATAAATAAATAAGAAAAATCAGCATAAAAACATTTTTCAGTAAAGTGAACTAAAATGAGGTAATACTGAATTACTTAAATGTTCTTTTAAAATTAATCTTCCTTTTGAAATTAAAAAAACAAGTTTAAAGAAATGTATGGAACTGCATAGTATAAGTATAAAACTTTTAAAATGTAAATCTAAGTGTGCTAAATTATCTTGTATAGGTGTTACATCCACTTATACTCCAAACATGAGTACTTCTACATTTTTGCATAATCTCTGCAACAAAATTTACTAAACTTTCAGATTTTTAACAGATTAAAGAAGTGAAAGAGTCCTCTCTCAGTGGATTTAATTAGATTTACTCTCTCTTTATTGTTTATTCATACATTTCAGGTATAAAATGTTACATTCATCATTAGGATCTTGCACTTTTACATGATGTAGCTTGGTTCTTAATTGAATTTATTCTTATAAGTGAGCTTGAGCATCCTTACATTTCAGTAAGAAACATTTGTATTGCCTATCTTGCAAATGACTGCACTTCTGTTAGCAACTTCTTTGAATTGTTGGCCTAGCAGCAATTTCTACTCTCTAGAGGATATTATCTTCTCTATCACTCCAAGAATTTGTCTTTTGACCTTGACCATGGATCTTTTAATATTTAGAATTATTTTAATACTGAAGTTTGATTTACTACCTTTTTTATTATGTCCTCTGGACTTGCAACCACAGTAAATTAACTAGAACCAACCTGTCACTAAAATAAAGATAATCTTCTCATATTTCCTCATAGAGCTTTCATGGTTTAATTTTTAAAATTTTAATCTTTTATGCTGGTAATATGGTATGACATATTAATTCATCTTTATTTCTTAATATGCTGAAGTAGTTGCCTCAATGCCTTTTAATACTACTCCTACTTCCCAAGACACAACACATTAATTATGTACTTTTTGCATTGGGGTCTATTTATCAATGTTTCTTCTGTTCCAGTGTTCTGACTATCCTTGTTTTAGTACTAGTATTTTAAATACTTAAAACTTTCTAAAACATATTTTGACATCTGATAGGGTAATCCTTATTCTTTTCAGTTTTTTCCTGATTGACTATGTGTATTTTTCTATATGAACTTTATAATCAGCTTGTCTAGTTATAAGAAAATTACATTTTAACTGGAAAATTTACACATATTCGTAAACAACTCAGGGAATTTAAAATCTTTATTAAACTGAATCTACTATGTTAAAAACAAGCAGTATAGTTTCACTTGAAAAGGGTATTTGTATCTTTCAGTAGTTTTTTAGTATCTAGTCTTGCTCCTTTAATATAAGTTATTTGTAAATGTGCTTTGTGTTATCTTTGTATATAGGGTCTTCATTTTGATATTTCAAGGGACCACTGCTGAATATTGTACACCTAGAATTTCTGCATAACAGCACTATTCCTCATTACTTTCCATGTCCTATTATCTATCATAATTTTTCAGTTTTTTTTTAGTTTTACAGGTATATCTTAATTCTCAATAGTGATAGTTCTGACTACTATATTCTAATCTCCAAGCATCTAAGTTCTTTTTTAGAATCTGTTTCAGTTAGCATTTAGCAATTTGTTTGCAGTTTAATCTTGTTCTGGACTTTCATGGGACTACGTCTAGTGTCTTTCCACTTGACTCATATACCAAAACTCAGAGATTTATTTTGGCATATTATTGACACGTCAAGCTATCTTAATTTGTCTTCATTTTTAAAAATTAAGAATGTGTGTTCAAATAACAAGGCCAAAAGATTGTTATTTAAAAACAGTAATAAGGCAAGACTAATAAAGAATAAAAATATTAAAATTTAGCAAAAAATAGAACATGGTAATTTTTACTTGAAAATTATCATATTTTTTGTCAATGAATATTATTATTAAAACCAAACAATATCCTTAAAAACAAGTTAGCAAAAAAATAAAATAAAATAAAAGAGCAAAGCAATAAACTATTTATGGAAAGCAGTAAATTTTTACTTTCCCTTGTTTTGAAGATTATGAAGTATAACTTCCTCCCCCTTAAAAATGAAATGATAACATTTAAGATTGTCATGGATGTTACATAATCCCCACCATAACTCTGCAAGATACATACTATTTCTATCATCATTGTACAGATGAATATGTATACGTTAAGTAATTTTCCCAAAATAACATCATACACTGCATAGCCAGGATTAAATCCAGGCAGTTCACTCTTTAGCCCATTTTCACACTCACAGGATTATAATGCCTCCAAAGATTTGACTAGTGTATCTATCAAAACTAATATATTCATGTATCTGGCAGGATACTAAGAAAAACTTCAAATATTAGCTTAAGTACCTTATTCAAATTTTGTCCCCATAAATATTCACAGACTGTAAAACAAAGATGATCATCTGATTTTCCTATTATCAAATAATCTTATTAATAAAATTAATTTCTGTCAGACAAGGAAAATGTTCTGCTTGTGCTTCTTACTGGAAGAGGTGATGAGCACAGAAAGTAGGATTGTTTCAAAAACTATCCATTCAGGTACTCAGCTTCGACCACTTCACTGAAATGATCTCATAAAACTATCTGACAAACTATCAAAGTGATTTATTGTTAGAAATATTCCATAGGAGACATTTAGGGGGGATTACCACAGGCTTTGGTTCCAAAAAAGAAAATTGTGACAACAGGTATGTGGACAGTTGAACAGCTTATAAAACTTATCCTCAGAAAGCATTATACAGATTATAAATACTGGCAATTAATGAATCTAGACAATCTGTATCTGTTATTCCTGTCTATAAATAATAGCTTTATTTTCTATGTATAGAGTCTATAGACTGGTAAGATAGTATTAGCTGGAATCTTAATATATCTGAAGCAGTTAAAAATGACTTAAAAGACATTTGTTTTGATTATTTCCAGTCTGTAGGTAAGCAATCAATTCTTTAATAGCACAAAAACCTCACTATAACTGATGAAGCTTGAAATGGTACTTTGGTCTTTCTTTCCTTTGCAGATTAAAATAAAACTTTTGTTTCTGGTAACTTTTAAAGTGAGTACATAACAAAGAATTTTATTTCTTTAGTCTTAACATAACATAATGTATAATTTTAAGATATTTATATATCTGAAAAAGGTTATATAATTACCCTAGGTTTAAGAGGTTTTACTGTTGGAATATCAGTTCCTTCTGCTCTTTGTCTGCTTGAGTCAAAAGTCTTCCGTTTTTTAGTGGCAGTTTTCTGACAAATGGGTCCATGTTTTTTCTATCACAGGAAAGAAGTACAACATGTTATTTTTCTCTTTTACAGAAGAAAAGCCTGAGACAAGTTTAAAAATTTAAGCCCAATTTAAAAATCCAAAGATAAATAATAAGGTGCACCTTGTCTTCAGTTTTACAACATACACGTTACCTTTCTCACAACAAGAAATTCTCCAGAGGTATCATTCAAAAATGTTACTGATAATTATTTAATACCCCTCCAGCTTTCCCGCTACAAAAAAGTAAGGAAAACAATGTAACCAAAGCTTTGACTGAAAACAGAAGTCTTGACTAAAAAGATGTTACAAAAAAAAAAAATCAATGGAGAAGAATACATTAGTTTGAGGGTTATAAAAGTTAACATAATAGGAGTTGACTGGACTACTAAAGGTAACACAATATTAGGTTACCATAACGTTAACATAAAGTAAAGGGACAACGTGTCAGATTTATGCCCTTTCTCCAAAATTATTCCTTCCTTTCTCTAACTCAAAACTCCCTACTTTTTTTCCACCTAGGACTTTTTTTATTTATTTGGTTTTTTGAGGTATCTAATCCTCCACTTCCCACAGGGTTCTCTTTTGTTTTTTGTTTGTTTGTTTGTTTGGGTACCAGGGATCAAACTCAGGTCCTTGTGCTTTCAAGGCAGGCAGACAGTGGCACCACTGAGCTAAATCCCAGCCCTTGTTTTGTTTTCTTAATAGTTATCAACTCATTCACTTCTTCATTCTTAAGGACAATACAGTGGAAGTATTAACTAACTTTAAATAAATCAACAAAAAACATTTTCCTTCTACCATATATAGCATGCTGACTGAGGACAGTGGACTAAATGCAGTTTTCTTTGGTATTGTGATAAGTAGCAATGAACTCAGAAAAGTAAGCTTTATCAGTGAAGAAATGGAACCTCAGCACCCACTTATTTGATGTTAAGGAAACCCTTAGGCTTTCAGAGTGTCAACTGTCATATACTTGTTTCAGTTTCAGTTCTATACCAAGAACTGTAACCACAGTTTTAATAAAAACTCTTAAGTACGTAATAAAAAATGAGCAAATAGGTGAATTTCTTGTAAAATATTAACATCTGTTCTCATAATTTAATTATGTATGTCAAGTGTATATGGTATTTATTTCCAAACTTGATTATAAAACTTGCACTTATAATAATATCATTTAATTAAAAATTAGATAAAAGGGAAAAGGCTTTTTTATCATGAAAATTCAGATAAATGTTTTGAAAGTCCTCTGAATTCAAAAGAAAAAAATATAGTACAGGGAGGGGAGAAGATGTTTCTAACAGAAGAATACACTGGATAGATCTCATTTAAAGAAACAAACTGGAAATAATTAAGATGGTGCATAGTGGATTGTACCAAGACTCTAATTAGCAAGTCTATATTTTAAAAATACTATTTGTCAAAAAGTAAAAACAATGTTTCTTTATGAATTAAAATGTTTAAGGTATATAGGCATAATTATTATTCCTATTTTGCTGGCTGATATTATCAATTAAAATGCTTCTATTTGTATACATTAAGTAACTAAAAGTATTTCAGGAATTAATATGTTTTAGGTGCACTTTAATATTGAAAAAAACTTTTTCTTTGAAATATTTCAAACACACATAAGAGCCAATAGCAAAATGAACTCCCATTTATTAATTACCCTGCTTCAACAATTACCAGCATTTTAGCAATTTTGTTTCCTTCACCCCTGCACTTTTTCCCCTTAAGTTAAAGTAAATCCCTGACACTGTATTATTCAGTAGTTGTAAATACATTATTATGTATATGTAAAGGTATTCTGTTCTGTTTTTGTGTTTTTGTAATGTTCCCACAAAGCTAGGAAGACTTTAACACTTTAATAGAGGAATTCAGAAGACCAGTCAAACTCTGAAAGAAGAGATCACTCTGGAAAAATGACACAGAGGCCACCAAGAGTCTTGAACAAAACCACTTCAAAAATTATTCCTCATAAGTTCTTCCCATGACAGCTGTTCTGAAGCACTAAAAAATTACTATTAAACTCAAAGGAAAAAGCTTGGAATCAATGTACTCACTAATGCTACTGGAAAGAATGTTCTTCCACAAATCTTGCAAGGTAACAATTCTCCAACCTGGACAACACTTCCATTTTCTAAAACAGAAAATAATTAAATATATAATTTATATAGTTTAAATTGTGGAGCTTCACATTTTAACGTTTTCTCTTGGCTTCACAGGTAAATTGTCAGCTATTGCGAAAAACTGCTCGTTCCATTTCAAAATTATCAATTAAAATGGTATGATGTTTACTATTATCAGTGACCAAAAGCATGGTAAATATGAAATAGTGATGATTTAAAGATAACCAACCTGATTTATTTGAAAATGTTTAGTTTTCTTCTAATTATTCAATGGAATCAATATGTCATATATATTATTACTAAAGTTTAAAAATCAAATTTATCTGATTAAATCTCCAAACCATGAAGAATTCTCAATAATGAAATAAATGACTTACTGAGATGATATAGGCTGTTTAGAATAAAAAGAATCATGCTCTATATAACCAAACAGAAAATTTAAGATTCTACGGGTAAGATCAACTAATTATGCAAATTACATGTATACATGATTTGTTCATCATTCTTTTATACATATAATACTTTTATATTAAAAATCACTGGGCCAAAAAATAGAGTATTCTGAATTCACAGGCATAAATCATTAATAAAGAGAAGCCATAATTTCATTCAATTAAAATTAATATACTATCATATACATAGATATAACAAATTTTTCTACTAAAATGACTTTAAAAACCTAAATTCTCTGGGGCTTTACATAACAGACTCAATTTGTTATTTTATTTTCTAGTCAAATATCAAACCCAAATTTGTTCTGTAATTTTCTAAAAGAACTATGGCAAAGCAGGGCAGGCAGAAGAAACCAAAGAAGTGAAACAGCAAGCAGCATCAGGAAACAACAGCAGCCCACTTTCTGCTCCTTATATTCAATTATCCAGGCTACATGCCCCTAGGTCAGGTAGCACTCACAGCCAGTGTGAGGTTTCCCATTATTCACACTCAGAACTATGACAAACATTTCACAAACAATTTAGTAATTGCAAACCCTTACTACCAGAATTACACACTTAATCTCAGCATCACACATTCTAGATCCAGCCACCTCTGAGAAGCCCCACCAATAATTGACTGCATGAGGCTTTGGAGGAACATCTGGAGACAAACCATAACATTCTGCTTCTGGCCCCCAAAAGACTCATGCATATCCCTTTATGCAAAAAGTGTTTAGTCAATCTCTAAGAGTTGCCAAACTCCTAACATTTTTAGCACTGTTGAAAATTCCAAGTCCAAAGTCTCTTCCGAGATTTACAGCAAACTCTTAGCTGCAAGCCCCTATAAAAATGAAAAGAAAGTTAAACAATTCCAATATACAATAGCACAAGATAAACGTTCCCATTCCAAATATGGGACACAAAGGAATGAGACTAATGCAAGTCCAAAAATCAGCAGGGCAAATATTAAGTCCCATGGTTCCATCTAGCATTCAAGGCAATTTATGGCAAGATGTGAACTCCAAAGAGCCTGGGTGGTACATTTTGAGGATATACTCCTAAGTGAAATAAATAAGTCACACATAAGCAAATACTGAATAGTTTCTCTGGTGTGAAAAACTAAAATAGTACTCAAGATCCTAACGGGACAATTAGCAATGTGAAATAGGAAGAAAAGGACCAAAGGTATAGGGACAGTGAGAAGGATAGGGAAAGGAAAATAAGGGAAAAGGAAAAAAATATGAGAAAATGTAAAAATGGAATTAAAGTATTTGAAGGTGGGGAGGGGAGGAGGGGGTAAAGGGAGGGTCGAGACAAGGGGAAAAAATGAGAACCAAGACCTGCCATGTAAAGGTACAAGATCCCAGTAATGAATGTAACTGTACTG